AGGTCGGTGACAACGAGTCAGTTTGACAGCATCTCAGTCGCATCAATAAAAATTAATGGCAAAAAGTCTACCTACATCAATGAGCGACGACACCCAGACACAGTGCGCTTGGCTGGCCAGCGTTGTATTTAAATTGAGCACACGCACACACACAGTGTGCATCTGGACGCTCGATGAGTTGAATGCTTGAAATCTACCAAACCAACCATTGGAAGTGAGACCATCGTCTCCCTCCCACATCTGTCTCGAGCAAATGCTGACAACCAACTGACCCGTCGTAGAACAAGCAAAGTGACAGATTCCATGGGGATTCATGGAGGAAGTCGAGCCGCGATGACTTCTGGAAATGCTCGCCTTGGAGGGGATGAGTCTTTTGAGGCAATCCTGCAGATTCCTGAAACACGGCGGGCCACTCCCTGAACAGACGGTCGACATGTGTTGCATCGTTCAGATCACCATATCGATCGATCAAGCCTTTGACCAATTCAGGGTCCTCAAACAACTTGGTCAGCTGCGGCTTTAGCGGAAAATACACAAAAATACGTGCCGAAACAAGCGTTGTGCAGCGAGGATTACTATCACACTCCAGCTTGTCTTGCTGACGAGTTGATGGCGCCTCGTCGAGGATCCAAACGCTGGCTCGGCAGGTGTAGGTCACGTTCCCACACGGACAGAGCTTGCACATTGACAGAGCTTGCTGAACCGTAGGATGGCATCGACAGCCAGTATGATACCACACGGCAGTAGCATAATCGGCATACTTGCGTTGGAGGCTGGCAATACGCTCACATGCATTTAGCTCGGGCTCGGGTGTTGTCCGCTGTCCAACCATGGAATCGCGCACGAGGGCCTGCTGAAAGTAGTACGGAGTCGCAGGTATCGCTGCCAGAGACGAACAAGATGCGGTTAGTGAATGGGACGCGTGACATCGATAGCAAGGGCAGCTGCGTTGTTCGTTTCGTACCCGTGGCGTGAAAATGGTCGTCAAGCAGGTCGTTCAGTTTCTGGTGCAGCTCGTCACTCAACCCGTGCGCTCGCAGTCCAGTGACCAAGGTCTTCCTGAGATCATTGTTATATCGTTGGAGGAAATTGTCCAACCCTGCGAGGGTCTGGCTAAACAACCGGAGTGTTGACTTACTCCGAAGGCGATGTAGGCGTTCCATCAGCTCGCCCATATACTCATCGGCCTCCGTGTTGGGCGCAGCGGAGTCGGTGTCTTTCTCCGCTTGATCCTGAGCCATGGCAAACGCATAAGCTCGAAGCTCGTCGACAACGTCGATCGCGAGCTGCTCGTTGATCAAATCCTCGCTCTCGGCCTCGCTCTCGTCGTCGTCGTCGTCGTCGTCGTCGTCGTCGTCGTCAGAGTCACTCTCGTCCAAATCGTTCAAGTCCAGCCACCGGTCTGAAACGAACGCATCAGGGTGCTGCATGTCGTTGGTATCCATGTTGCTGAAACCCATGTCGTCGTAATACATGTCGCTGTCATCAACGTCTGCACTAGCACTGTCAAACTGCAGTGAGAGGCACGGTCTAGCCAGCTGGCAATGCTTCGCGTCGTACCTTTGGTTGTCTTGTGTATCAGCATGTTCTTGCATGGCTGCTTCTCTTCTCGGAGCCGTCTGTGTCATTGGGACAGAGGATGGGGTATTCGACGCACGCCACGAAGCGTCCAGCCAGGCGTCGAGCCAGGCGCCTTCCACACCATCGGCCCGTAGCTGATTGTAGACTTGAGCCAGGCACGCAACTCCGAAAAAATTTAAGTGTCGCAACTCGGTTTTTCTTGTGGTGGGCTCCGAAATTTGCCCTTTAATGTGCTTCACAGTGCACTTGATACAAGTGCAGACGTACTTCTCCCTTGGGAGCAACTGATCACGGACATGTCTGGCGCAGACAGCCTGTGTATGCCACACAAGCGGAGATCGTGGATCTTTGTCGAATATCGCTGTGCAAGGCCCGCAGCCGCAACGGAAAAGGACGTGAAACAGATTGTTCATTGTGGACTGCGCATCCTTCAAAAATTGGACGTGTTTCCTGCATCCATTTCTCCCAATCGGCATGGAAAGGTCAGCCTCGAATCTATCCTGTATTGATTCAAATATAATTCATGACCATATAGTCAAAAATCGGTCGTGGTGGTAAGCTCTAGCATCGCAATTACGTGTGCAGAATTCTGCGTGCGGCAATCGAGGTCGATGCCAGCTGACAATCTCGTTTTTCCGGCACACTCCTGGGACGGAGTGATTGGCAGTGATATGTTCTTTGTGTTTGTGCTATGGTTGCGGTCAAATAGTGGAGACTGGTTTGGCGCATCATCAGCAAGTGGGCTGTGAACATGGCAGTTTCAATCGGATTCATTCAAAGTATCGCCCATGAACATGTTCTCATCATTATCGACGACTACAACTGTCCAACACAAGCATACATACTTGTTACAGTTATACACATCATATTTGATCATGAGCTGCGAGGTAGAGAGCCGTAGGACGACCAAAAGGCCGTTCCAAAGTTGCCGGTAAACTTTACGAGCGAATTTCCAGCTCCTGCTTGCCGCAATCAACCAGCCGATTGGCACATTATATTCTAGAGATTAATTATGTGATTGTCAGACTGACGGGACGTCAAAAAGTCTTGTGACGTTTCACATTTAGGCACTGATGCATCAAGTAGCGTTTTGCCCAACCGGACAACAGTTGAGCCGTCACTGTGCATCTTTCGCGCCTGACGAGGTTCGATTCCCTGCTTTTGCTCTTTTTGCTCTTTTTTTTGGACAATGGAAAAAGCAATGCACTCAAACAAAAAAAAATAAAAGAAAAAAAAAAGAAAAAAAAAGAAAAAAAAAGAAAAAAAAGAAAAAGAAGAAAAAAAAGAAAAAGAAAACCCAATGTCACTCCAATGGTTTTATTTTATTTTTTTATTTTTTGATTTTTTTATTTTTTACTTTATTTTATTTTATTTTCTGCACCACAGTCTTTGTATTTTATTTTACTTACTTTTATTTTATTATTTTATTACAAAAAGCATTGAATTTTTTCTTTCTTTGACTTGCAAATGTCGTACGAGCACCAACTGATTCCGAATGGACCGACTCAGTTCATTTCGTTTCAAGAGCGTAAGAGGATGCCTACCTACAATCGTTATACTCATGAGTGTACAATGCACTCGATGCAGACAACAAAAGATCAAAAGAACACGCATGGCGAAAGAGAAAAAAAAAGCAAAAAGCGCGCGAAAACCAACCTTTCAGTTTGCTCTCGGTCCTGCAGATCAGCAGCCGTTCGCCGGAGCGCGCTGCCGCCAAGCATATTGTAATTGTCATGACTTCCTTGACGGAATTGCGTCGCGATTGGCGTGAATTCGGGGAACGCGGACGCTGGGGAGGGTGAAAAGGGATTTTGAGCTTCAATTTCAATCCAGTGAATCGCCTTTTTGAGAGCTCGGTGTTGAAACTGCTAGTAAAAGCGCGGGAAAGAACTTGGTTAATTTTTTTTGTTTTTTTGGTTGTTCGTATTTGTATCAGATCAACAAGCCAACTTTGTTTTTATGTCAAAACTGATATCGGAGAACAGTGCACTGCATTTTGAGAACGATACACTCAAGAGGAATAACACTCAACTGAGGTCGGACAACGAGAGACTGAGTCAATCAATAACTTTTTTGTCTCATCATGTTCGAGTACTGCAAGATGAGAACGATCGCAGATATCGAGCGAATGCCGAGCAACAAATTGCGAGTACCGTACGTAAATGAGATGTTTGCAAACGTGGCTTTGTAGCGTTTCTTTCACTGATAATCTTTGTTCAAAGGAAGTTGCCAAAGGCGCACAAATCACCAAGTTAATTAGAACGCATTTCCCTCCGTGGCTGCTACATGATCGGTATAAAGATTGGTTCCTACCGAAGCGCGCGGGAAAGCTTTGTGTGACTTCCTCTGGCCTCGATCAAGTCGAAACAGCGTTCGTTGAGGCAATCAACTGTGTATTGAGGGTGGTATTCCAGCCATCTGTATTGTCGAACCCCGAAATGAAGAAGAAGGCGAGAGCCGCGCTCCTAGTCAAGGTAACAATTGCGTTGAGATGCCGAATTATCTCTGACCTGCAATGTGAATTTGTAGATGCACGACGCACGTCGTCACTGGCCACTCCAAGCGGTTGTCGGTGATTCGAGTGATTCCTCAACGGACGCAACTCCGATGGCAGCTACGGTCGGAGTAGAGGCAAGCTCGGCAGAGCTTCCTGTGAATGCGTCGTCGGCAGCGGACGGGTCGCTTCTTGTGTTGGCAGCGGAAGCGTCTCTTCTCGTGCCGGCAGCGGACGATGTAAGTCTGCCGTCCGTAGCGTTCGCTCTGGTCAACAATGAAGCAACAGCCCAGTCCACTCTTCCAGCCACTCCAGTCGAGGCGCATGCGGCAATGGCAATGGATGCGGATGCACGACCAGCAACTGCACACGCAGTAACAACCACTCTCCCGCCTTCGACCGCATTCTACAGCACTGTGGATGCCGACACGCGGGAATACAGTCGCAGCCATCCAATCAGTCGAGCTCGAGAGGCCATGGCGCACCGCTCATCATTTCGAGAACCTCTTCGGCGCGACTTCACGAATCTGACTGGCACGACGATTGCTCCGGGTACTGCAACAATCGAACCGCCTAGCATGCTTTATTCTCGTGGTGGATTTCCATCGAGATTCAACGGCTCGCGAATGGTTCTCGCAGTCAGCGAAGGCCCAAGGAGCGGCTAAGGCCCAAGGAGCGGCCAATGAAATTATTGCTATGAAAAAATAATAAAATAATAAAATATTAAAAATATTAAAAAAAAGGAAAAAAAAGGAAAAAAAAAAAAAGGGGGAGTGTCCGAAAAATAAAAATAAAAAAAATAAAAAAAAAGGCGGGTCAAAAAAAACGTGGAGGAAGGAATTTTTGTCGACCCAAAAGTTCGGGTCAATTCCATATTAGCGAAATTAACTGGTAGAAAATGTCTACCAGTCAAAAGTGTGCCAAAATGGCAACATTTCCGTGGAATCTTTTTACACTGTGTTTGCACAATAATAAGCTTGGCGATGCTGGAGCGACTGCGATTGCTGAGGTACTCAAGGTAAACACGACCTTGAAAGCGCTCGGGTAAGTCATCTAACGTTGATGCAGCAAACGACTTTCAAAGTGCTCACGAATGGAGAGGACGGACAGTCTGGCTAAAAATCAGATTGGCGAAGCTGGAGCGCAGGCCATTGCTGAAGCACTCGAAGTGAACACGACGATGACTAGTCTCAGGTAATCGATCTCACTTTGACTGAAGCATACGAGTGGGTGATGCAGCAGATGACATTCAAATGCTCACGAATGGAGAGATGTACAGTCTAAATGAGAATCGGATTGGCGAAGCTGGAGCGCAGGCGATTGCTGATGCACTCAAGGTGAACACGACGCTGACTGATCTTGTGTACGGCAGCTCACTTTAACTGATGCAAGTGTGGGGGTGATTCACTGCACAGAACAATGAGAGCACTCACTGATGGAGAGGACCGGACAGTTTGGCGAAGAATCCGATCGGCGATGTAGCAGTGCAGGCCATTGCTGAGGCACTTGAGGTGAACACCACGCTGACCGAGCTCTAGTAAAGTCGCTCAAACTTACTAATGGATGCAAGTGGGTGGTTTCAGCAAAGGACATGCAGAGTGCTCACTAATGGAGGGGACGGACAGTCTGTGGGAGAATCAGATTACCTGTACTGGAGCGCAGGCACTTGCTGAAGCACTCAAAGCGAATACGACGCTGACCGAGCTCGAGTAAGTCGTCTCCCTTTGACAGAGGCGAGTGAATGGGTGATTTCCAGAGAGTAGATTCAGGGTGCTCACTGATGGATGGGACGAGCAGTATGGGTTCTAATCAGATTGGCGATGTGGGAGCGCGAGCGATCGCCGAGGCACTCAAAGTGAATGAGACGCTGACTGAGCTCTTGTAAGTATTGGGTTGTTTCAATATGCCCTCGCAATCGCTAGACTCATGCTACATTCTGCAATGTGACCGACAAAAACAGGTTGTACGAGAACTTCCTCACAACTGACGGAGTCGCTACATTCAGGCAAACGGGCAATGCCATTTGTGAATTGTAGTAAGGCTTTGCAATGCTTCTTGGATTCTTTCGTGAAGGAAATTTCGAACTGCAAAGCCATTCACTTGCTTTGGCGCCATTGGTTTGGTTTGGTAGCCTTGACGACCAGCGTGCTCCTTCGAATGTTGAGTTGGCTCAAATTTTTGCTCGTACCAGCGCCGCGATCACTCGGGCTACCACCCTTGAGGCCGAGAACCAAAAGGTCCGCTTCGAGCTGGCTGCCAAAGATCAGGAGCTCGCTGCCAAAGATCAGGGGCTGCAACAACTGCGCTCCGATCTCGCTGCCAAGGATCTTGAACTGAAGTCAGCACTTGATCGGATTGACGTGCTGGAGCGCAACCAACCAGGTGTTGGCTCGGCAGCGAGCTCTGACGGACCCATCCCGCGAGTTTCTCTCGCAACGCTTGTCACAGCCACAAACAATTTTGCCGCTGATGCTCTGCTCGGCGAAGGAGCGTTTGGTCGTGTGTACGGCGCCAGTTTGCCTGGCCCTCGCGTTGCCATCAAGAAGTTGTCAATTCAAAACTAGATGCAATCATCAGCAGTGGCGAAATCCCACCGCCCCTCACGGCGAGCCACCCCACACACCGAGATGAAAACTCACCTTGGCGAGCTCGTTGCTAGCACTGCAAATACATGTACCAAGCACAGCGCCCATTAGAATTGTTGTTGTTGTTGTTGTTGTTGTTGTTGTTGTTGTTGTTGTTGTTGTTGTTGTTGTTGTTGTTGTTGTTGTTGTTGTTGTTGTTGTTGTTGTTGTTGTTGTTGTTGTTGTTGTTGTTGTTGTTGTTGTTGTTGTTGTTGTTGTTGTTGTTGTTGTGGTTGCTGTTGCTGTTGATGAATGGAAAAGAGCGTGACGGTGAAGTAGATCTAGAAGAAGAAGAAGAAGAAAGAAGCAGAAAAAAAAAATCAGAAGTAGAAGAACAAAAAAACAAACAACAACAACAACAACAACAACAACAACAACAAAAAAAAAAACAACAAGGACTGAAACTGAAACTCTCATCGCTTGCCCGTTTCGTTGCAGCTTTAGTCTTTTTTTTGTTTCTTCCGAGAATGCTGAGTTGCCTGCGACCTTTAGCGGGTGTCTTGGCGGATGAAGCCCAATACTGCCGCCACTCGCTCGTTCTCGGCATTCGCCCGACGCGGCGCCATTGCCACCGGCCTCACCGTCCTTGTACGTGTGTTTGTCTACACAAAAGCACTCTTGAGGGCGAGACTTTTTGCGTTGAGCTTTGTGGAGAACACTTTTGGCGCGAGCAGGTTTGTGTCTCGGCGGCCCTTTTCCGTTCATGCTTTGCTAGGTGCCAACCGTTCGCCCTTTCACAATCCCCACGTTCGCTCACCCTCTGCTTCAATGCGAGAAATGACTGTCCATCTGCGAGTCACCGCCGCAGCTGTGTCATCCTTCGACAGCGGGTGACCACGACCAATGTTGTCCAATTTCTTGCCTTGAACTTTGAATTCTAACGATGCAAAATGGCTTTGTTTCCAGCAGACTGGGCAAGTTGCTGCCAACGCATCCCACGGCGCTTTCCAGCAGCGGAGTCCAGTGCCAACTACTCAGCGTTCCCTGTCGGGTTTGATGCAAGGGCAAGCGAAGGCCGGAGCGAAAATGCCGACAAAAAACGCCTCAACTCTCAAAACCAGCTCTGTGAGTGGGAAATGTGCAGTTTCTGTTGTGACGGGTGAAGCTGACGATGTGCGCTCAAGCAGGGTGCTGGTCAAGCGAGCAACAGCAGCCAGGCGGCACCCGTGCAAGTCAGTGTTCAAAGATGCTAGGTTTCTGAGATGGATTGGTGGTGTGCGTCTCAGACTGACAATTGCATGTTTTGTCCACAGGTCCCTGCTCATCTCACAACTGAGGAACAACAGCAGTACCGTGATTTACAACACCCGCTTCTTCAAGCGCCATTCAGTAAGCGCCGTTTGACGAGATTGGTGCAAGCTGTTTTGACTCAACTCGAATGACTGCGACAGAGCACGAATGGAAGATTCCCAGCCTCTGTAGGCTTCTGCTCAAGGAATTATCGAGTCAGAAAGTTGCCAGCAAAGAAGTCCAGGCACTCAGCAAAGTGCTTGGCGAGTTCAAAGACACCACAGCGCTGGTTTTGTGGCCGTCGCTCGTCTCTCTGTTGAAGGATTTTCAAGGACAACGGGAAGCACTTCGGTTGATTGGCTGGGCCGACCAGTGGCTCAAAGAGCAAGGTGAGAGCCGTGTATGAGTCTGAGTGAGTGAGTGAGTGAGTGAGTGAGTCAAGGTATGAGTGAGTGAGTGAGTGAGTGAGTGAGTGGGCGAGTGTGTGAGAGTGTGTGAGTGTGAGTGAGTGTGTGTGCGCTCACGAACGCATGCTGGAACAACAGGAGAGCTGAAAAGCACGCCAGCCATGATCCGCGATTCGCTCCGTGGCCTGATCACATTGGAGCGAAAGCAACCAAAAAACGTACGTTTCTAGTCGAGCTCGATGACCGAATAATGAAGTTTGTCTAATGGTGTTGCTCTGCAGGACAGCTACACACGACTGGAGAGAACCTCCTCCTCCATAGAGGCGCTGCTGAAGAAACGTATGAAAAAGACACTTGCAAACGACACCGATCCACTTGAACATCGGTCGTTTCTTGCTGCCACAATCCCTGGTACAGGGAACTCGGGTCTGTGCGACGCGTTTGTGCATCAAATTGCCCCGGAAGCTCATCGTTACAGAGAAAAAGATCCGTTGTGCTTATCCGTCTCTTTCGACGGTCCTTCCGGTTTCGACTCTGCAAACGACTGGACAGTTCTCAAGCAAGCCAATCCGGAGCACGCTCTGTCGACTCGCCTGCTGGCTGCCTACTTTGAAATTCCCCCGAGGGTTTTTCAGGACAACTTTGAACAAACTGGCAGCTTCCAGGTCGCTGCTACGCTCCAGTTCATCCAAGAGTTTGAGTACTCGGCTCGTAACGACAGTCACCCCACGAGTCATGATCAACTGCCGTGGCTTGCCATCGCTGTTGACGGAATTCAACAGTTGCTTGGCTTTTCGAGCTGGCACAACGCTCAACGTCAACGTCAGCTGCTGGACAAGACTCTCGCGTCACTCAAGGCTGCCGTTAAGCGTCCCGCAGCGCGACTCTTTGTGCTTTACGCTGGTACTTTGTCCGACGACCTCACCACTGGCGTGATTGAGTCGCTCCACTCTCAAACCTCTGCTTCAAGCAAATACAACGTGGATGAGGAGGAGGTGCCTGAACCCAAGCGCGAGGATGCAAACCTCGAGAGCCAGTTACATCCTTCCGATGGCATACCACGCCACATTGAGAAGGTTCTTGGTGTGATGGCAAGCGGCGCGGCGGCTAAACTCTGTCTGAATGCCCGCAAGTTTATCGAGCTCGTGCACTTCTGTGCGTTCGACGCGTTCTCGATCAACCCTTCAAGTCTGGACGCCCGAACTCGCTCTTGGATTGACACAGGATGTGCTTTCGTCGGTCAGTTGGCTGGTAGTCACACTTCAAGATGCTGGATTTGACTGATTGTTGTGTTGTTATTGATGACAAACGACAGCGTGCGAGAAGGACAGCAGAGGGTCGTTGCAGGTCAATTTGCACAGCAAGATATATGTAACACTTGGTGAGGATTTGGCGAATTGCTTCTGTGACATGAGAAACGACAAGTTGACGTGCTCGTTGAGTATTTGCAGATCTGGGTTCGAGTGACGCCCCACCGACACGTGACTTGCTCGCACAAACTGTGCGCTCGGCCTACCGCCATTTCGATGAACTTCACCGCTGGATGGACCGTCCCTTCTCGTTTTATCATCATCCTGCAGTTGCGTGGGAGCATACTGTGGTGAACCTTTTCAACGTGCGATTGATTGTACTTGTCGCCAAAGCACTGCTGGATCATGCAGACGCTTCGAAGCAGCTTGACAGTTCAAAGCTTGGCGTTTCAAAGAAGCTTGGTGCTTCAAAACAGGCAGACGCTTCAACGCTTGGTGTTTCGAAGCAGCTTGACGCTTCAAAACAGCTTGACGCGTCAGAGCAGAGTGGTGCACCACAGCTGCCGGCTCACATGGACGTACCACTGAGTCGGCTGCTACCTGGCGTCAAGTTTGGTGCGGGATGTGAGGAACTCCAACTTCGGTTGCCACTGAGCAATTGGAGGGAAGACCTGACGTGCATGACAAAGATCGACAATGATGAATGTACACTCGCGACTCACATTGAGCCGGCTATTGACTGTTGCATGCATGCTCAAGTCGTCGAGAAAGTAAGTTGCCAAACCCTACCGCCCTTTTGTGGTTTCGATCCTTACTCACGGTTGTTGGAAAAATGTGATTGCAGACCAGCGGCAAAGTGCGTCCGGCAGTCATCGGACTGCAAGTCAAGCATCACAAGTCTCGTCTCACCACCCAAGACGAGATTGAGAGGCTGGAAACGAAGGCTCGGAAGGAACTCGCCCGAAAGTATGTCAAGGAAGAAGACACTGTCATTCTTGTCGGAGTCATGTTGACGTCTCGAGTGACGATTGCAAATCCGCCGCCGCTTTCGTGGGTGATGCACCGCGGCGACCTGGAGCAATTCGTTCAAGGCTTCAGGATGACAGTTCCTTGAAACCGCTCCTTGCACTGCAAGATTGCATGTCATTATCGCTCACCACACTTCTGCCGCCCTCGTAAAACGTGAAAAAGCGTGATTAGAGAGATGCTTGTTCAACAGTAAAACAACATGAATGTGGAATGCCGTTGACATTGTCAATTTGTACTGTGTGCACAAAAAGCACAAAAATTCAACTCGAGTCACGCAAAGAATCAACCAAATCAAGCAAGCTCCACTTTAGTATTCAGAACAGCCATCATTCTCATCAATCACGTCTTGGATGCAGCGTGGCATCGAGGAAATGGGATCTCGGCAGACCTCATTCAGGACGGTAAACTTTCTAGTGCGATTGTACAGTTTGAGGACCAAGACCACTCCTGGCGGTCAAACTTTGTTGCTTGAGGAAAATGATGAGCGGAATCTCGCCACTGCTGATGATTGCATCGAGTTTTGAATTGGCTCTTCGCTCCGACTGCAAACTCATCTCCTTCCATTGGCATTTGGACGATCTTAACCGAATTTTCAATCAAGCTTTCTTATACTGGCTTTACGTGCTTTGAGATGTGATTGATTGCTGGTCCGCCGGGACACAAAACGCCAATGCGCGTCCACTTTTCGACTGACCATGAACGCCGAGCACGGACCTAGAACGAGCCAATACGTCTCGTTGAGGTTGTCCGGATTCAAAATCATATTTATCATTGCTCAGATACCAGAAAACAAGCGGTACAACGGGGTTTCGATCCGAAAAAAACGAGGTGGGTGAATTTTCGAAGCACATTCAATTTTCACAGCCTTATTCACACACACACACACACACACACCGGGGGATCCTTTTGGGCAAGAATCAAACAACAATACAGTACATCTCAAACGGAAACAAACAAGGCAGGAGGCAGCTGGGACTGTAAAATTCGCCGAAAGAGCACGTTGTAAGTGCGCGGCAAGTAATTTCCACACAGCTCTCCGAAGAAGCGAATTTACCAGCTACAGATTGAAACACGAATACAACATATCCCGCGAGTCATCAAGAATCCAACAAAGTGAGGATGCTACCAAAGAACGGACGTTCGTCACTTTCATCGGCAAGACAGTCAAGTGCAAGAGAGCCCATTTCACTCATGTCCTGGTGTTCAGCTTCGGTTGGCCTGAGTGTTGAGTCCAGTATGCCAGCGATGGCTTGGTTTGTCACCGCTTTGCGCGCCTTTGACTTCAGCTTGGTGCTGGGTTTTTCTGCAGTCAGCAGTTCCAGCAGAATCATGCCAAACGCGTGGACAGCCGTCTTGTTGGTCATGCGGCCTTCCTCAAAGAACTCCGGACACATGTAAGGAGCTGCGCCTTGCACGATCTGGTGAGCTCCGCCTTGCACGAGCTGGGTGCAAATGCAGCCCTTCTCATCGAGGTGTTGGGCGGCGCGGAAGAGACCAAAATCAGACACTTTCGCGTTGAAATGCGCGTCCAGCAGCACGTTGTCGGTCTTCAGGTCGAAGTGAAACAGTGGCTTGTCAGAGAAGGCTCCCTGGATGTAGTGCATGCCACGGGCAACATCAGCCGCAATGCGATGACGCTGGGACCAGGTCAGTGCAGGAGTGTTGTTTTTGCGATTCAAGCGATCGCGAACAGAGCCATTGGGCATGAACTCGTAGACCAGGCATCGCTCGGCACCGTCTTCCGCATACGACAGAATAGCAACAACATTCGGGTGGCGGAATTTCGCCAACGAGTGCAGTTCCGACTTGAATTCGGCAGAGCCTTGCTTGGATTCGGCAGACTCTTTGCTCTGACTGTTATATGCATCCTCTTCCATTGGCTTTTGGTACAGACTTAAACGAAGTTTCAATTCAGGCTTTCTCATACTGGCTTAGCTTGCTTTGAGATGTGATTGGTTGTTGGTCCGCCGGGACACAAAACGCCAATGCACGTCCATTTTGCGCCTAAAGTTGCTTACGAACCATGACCATGAATGCCGAGCACAGACCTGGAACGAGCCAATACGTCTCGTTGAATTCCTCGGAAGGGGCAGTCTTTGTTTTTCGCTGTTTTACACTTCGAATGATGCTGAAGTATGCGAGTATGAACCAGAGACAGCGCGAGCTGTATGACGAAGTCACGAATGAGCCCAACAACGTCATGTACGAAGCCGAGTTTACTGCAATGCATGTGGCAGTGTGTGCACTGACGAAATCAAGGAACAGTCTGTCCGGCAGAGAGATCGGCGACGCTGAAGCACTGGCGGTTGCTGAGGCACTCAAGGTGAACACGACAGTGACCATGATCAAGTAAGTCATTTGTGCTTGTGATCCAGCAGAGCATTCAGAGAGCTCATCAATGGATGGTACGGACAGTTTGCTCTTCAATCAGATTCGCGAAGTTGGAGCGCGCGCGATTGCTGAGACACTCAAAGTGAACACCAGGCTGACTGTGCTCACGTAAGTTATCTCAGTCGGACGGATTTACGGGAGTGTGGAACTATTCAGCCAATGGCACTAAGAGTGGAGCGGATGGGCAGTTTGCGTATGAATGACATTGGCGATGTCGGAGCGCAGGCGATTGCGGAACTTCTCAAGACGAACACAACGCTGACTTCGCTGGAGTACGTCGCTTCCCTTTGGCTGATGCATTTGAGTGCGTGATTCCAGCAAAAGGCATTCAAAGTACTCACTGGTGGATGGCTGGACAGTCTGCGCGAGAACCACATCTGTGATGCCGGAGCGCAGGCGATTGCCGAGGCACTCAAAGTGAACACAAATCTGACCTTGCTCACGTAAGGCGTCTCAGTCGGACGGATATACGGGAGTGAGGGACTATTCCACAAAAAGGCACTAAGAGTGGATCGGATGGGCAGTTTCGGCTGGAATCACATAGGCGATGCTGGAGCGCAGGCGATCTCAGCAGCACTCAAAGTAAACACGACGTTGACTTCGCTGGAGTAAGTCGCTTCCCTTTTACTGAAGCATGTGAGTGGGTGATCAGAGCACAAGGCATTGCGTGTACTGACTGATGGAGGGGATGAGCAGTCTGAGCGTCAATCGGATTGGCGATGCCGAAGCGCAAGCGATTGCCGAGGCGCTCAAAGTGAACACAACGCTGATTTGGCTCAAGTAAGGCATCCCGATTTGACTGAAGCATGTGTGTGGGTGACTCAGCATAAGGCATTGTGAGTATTGACTGCTGGAGGATGGACAGTCTGAGCTTCAATCAGATTGGTGATACCGGAGCGCTAGCGATTGCCGAGGCGCTCAAAGTGAACACAAAGCTGATTACGCTCCGGTAACACAATACACTTTCACTGAAGCATGTGAATGGGTGATTGCAGGAGAGGGACAGCAAGAATGGCTCAGTGATGTAAGGGGACGGACAGACTGGCGCACAATGAAATTGGCAATGCCGCAGTTCCATCGATTGTCCAGGCGCTCAAAATGAACAAGAAAATTCGAAACATTTGGTAAAAGTGATTGTGTAAATTGTTCGGACTGCCATGAGACTCATGCTACTGAATCATCCAACGACAATAGCTTGGACGAGAACTTCTTCTCCTATGCTGCAGTCGATGCACTGAGACAAACGCGCAAAAAATGCATTACCTGTAAGAACATGAGGTAAGACTCTGAGTATTCGCACGAAGAAAAATGCACAACACACCGGTTAGATGCATTGGCTGAAATTATTGTTGAACAGAGTCCAAAGCAAGAAAGAGCCGTCGCCCGCCACGTCGGCGCTGAATGCCGCTCCAGCCGCCGCAAGCATTGTGCCTCAGAGTTCAGGCTCTTGCAACTGAAAATCAGCAATTGAGCTCCGAGCTGGCTGCCAAGGATCAAGAGCTCGCTGCCAAAAACCAGGAGCGGGGTGAGAAATAGGCTGAAGTACAGGTCCGATTTGTTGCTCGTAGAATGACAAATAACAAAAAACGTAGTACTTTTTCACTAACCACAAAGCACACCTGGTAATCACACACACACACACACACACACACACACACACACACACACACACACACACACACACACCAAACAAACTACTCTTGATTCAGAGCATGCCGCTCATTCAAAAAGCTGGCGGCAAACGAATTGGACTCTTCGTTGCTAAACACGACGCCCGAAGAACCAGCCTGATCGTGCTCGCCGTCTTGCTGCGCATCTCTGAGCTCTGGCACCGAGCTTCGCGGACCTTTCGGCGATAAAAAGGAGAGACGATGGCGCGGATTCGGCTTTTGACCACCAGACTCGCCAACAGCAACACGCGGTGGGCTGACGACGATGGACATCTGGGGCGAACTCGCAGCCGCATTCTTGTCGAACAAGCCTTTTGCCTCGAGCGTGTTGATGGATCCCGAGCTGCGAGCGCGCGAGAAAAAGAAGGACGATCGTGTTTCGGAGCCCCGGAACGAAGGCGAGACCAGGGGAGACGCAGGAGGGGAGACGGAGCGTTCTGCCTCCTCGGATAGGTCCAGCGAATGGAGCGTGGGAGAGCTGTGCGTCAAATGACTGCCAGACGCCAAGGACGGGGGCTCTACTTTTGCATCGCCGTGTAGATCGCCAAGCGATGTTGCCAGCGCCGATTGGGCATGTGGCAAGGCCGCCGATGCCTGATCCTTGTGTAGTTTCACAGCTTCTTTCAGTCGCCGCTCTTGCTCCTTTCGCTCGACCTTGTCCTGGACTTTTCGCGCTTTTGCACGTTCCTTTTCCAGCCGCTCGCGTTCCTTTTCCAGCCGCTCGCGCTCCTTGCGATCCTTCTTGTCCAGTTTGTGCTGCGCACTCTCGTTGGAGGCTGAGCGAGAAAGCGCCATGCGCCCCTCCGCGAAACCGAGCGGATCTTGCTGTGACGGCGAACCAATCCCAGGGCTCGACTCGCGCTCCGATGCAGCGCTCACGTCGATGGAAGGCGCCACTCTGAAACGTTGCTCTTTGGATAGAAGACCCAAGGCCGAAGCGGCCTCGTGCGCGTCCAGCGGCGGTCGCACGGGTGAATGCAGACTGCCTTCTTCAGCGTCAGACTCATCATCATTGTCGTGGTTGGCTCCAAGATGGCTCATGTGCTTGACAGCACCAATCAGCGCCTTGCCCTTCTGGATGGTCCATTTGACCTTTTTTCCAAGAAGCAACTTTGCCTTGAAATGATCGTGATGGCCAGACGATTCACCAAAGCCAGCGGTAGATTCGTCCTCTGCCTTCTTGAAGCCAAGTTTCTCCTTGATGACTTGCGAAACCAGCAATTGAATGCAGTCTATAGCCAATACGAATCAACCAAGCGACCGACACTGTGAGCAAGGTTGATTTACATCTTGTTTTGGTGTTTTGGTTTTCCCCTTGCGCAAATTTTTCTTACCCTTTTTCAATTGCATCAATAAATCAAACCACGACCATGATTTGTCGTGATACTCAAAGTCGGGCAGATTGAGGACAAAATCGTGCACGTCTTCAATGTTCTTGTCCTTTTCGCCCTGAGAAAACAAAAACAGACAACAGTTCACGGTTGGTGTTGCTCAAGGCACGAAACAGCTCTTTTTTTTTTTCAGTTTTACCAGCATCTCCCAACCCAAAATCTTACCTTGTAGCTGACACAAAGCTGTACTTGTGGGATTTTGAAAAATATAAATACTTGGGTCTTGGAAGCGCGAGCTTTCATTTCGGACACTTCGGCCTCGACCGAGCCTGCGACCCGATGGGTTGGCTTTGTCTTTTTTGCTTCAGGCTTCGATCTGGGTGTGCTGGAGACGGGAAAAAAATGAGCGAAACATGGAAAACAACAAAGAGCAAGAGAACGAGCGACAGAATGAGACACTCAAAGAACCAACAACCAACACCATACAATCACTCCATTCCTTTACCTATGCTCTTTCGCAATAGCCGATAAATCATTGGTGCTTCCGCTCCGAGAAACGTTGAAATCGCTGTCTTGAGGCAAGTTCGAGTAAGAGCTGGACAAAGACCGCAGCGAACCGACTCCATCGCCGTCACTTGGGTCGTAAAAGGACAGTGGCCGCGGCACTGGCGTCGCAAGTACAGCTGAAGCGCGACGCAGCTGAAGCATCTGCGACTGCTGGTGTGGACCTGGCGAGGGTGGCTGCACGCGAACGAATGGGGCCCGAGCGGCGGCACGATCCGACTCCCCGCTCGCATTTGCATGTATGGCCTCGAGAGACTGCGAGCGGTTTAGATGTTTAACCCCGCCCGATGCGCCCAGTTGTTGAATCCTGCGATGAGGAACAAGCGGCGTATCAGGGTAGCGCTCCACACGCTCCCGATCCAACGACGGACGAGTAGTCTGACAAACACAGATTTAGTCACGTTCATGGCAACCACTCTTTTCATCGCTCGGCGATAATGTTTTCTGTCTGCTGACTCACCTCAACGGAGCCAACTGCGCTTGAAATCGGCTCTTCCGACGGTAAAACCTATTCGCAGAATGCAGCAAACCGCAAGTCACAGTCAACCACACACCAGGTGAGCAAATTTAACAACTCAACCATCGCTCATCCACAACAAGTGGCGGCAGAAAAAACCAAAGTCAACCACAAACTCAAAAAAAAGCAAGGAGAACCAGCTCCCTGTCACAAACTCAAAGTCAATCACGAATGCCAGACAATCAAAATTGTCAAAATTCCCACAAGCGGAGCAACGAGGGGAACACGAAAGTCTTCTCAAAAAAGCAACGAAAACCCAATCCCCGGTCACAAGCTCAACCATCCTCGTCACAAGCCATGATCTCAACCTCCCCACAAGCGGAGCGACGATGGGAAAACGAAAGTCATCTCAAAAAAGCAACGAAACCCCAATTCCCCCCCCCCCTTGTCACAAACTCAAACCATTCTCGTCACAAACCATGATCTCAACTTCAAACATTCTCTGCAATTACCTCAGCATCACGATCGCGATCGCCCACGCGCCGGTCCTTGTCGCGATCTTTTGACACCAAACCCTTGTCGCGCTCCAGCTCCTTTCCGATCGCGTGGAAGAAAAACTCAAACAGGTGGCGGTAGAGCTGATACGTGAGCCGTACGGAAAGGGGAACCAAGTTCACCTCAAAGTGCTGCAACACTGAAATGCCGCCCACGGGCGCCTGGAAGCGCGAGTAGATGCGTAACATGACATTGCGATCAAAGGCAAATCGTTTGCCCGATGGGTTGAACAAGGCGAGGACTTGCTCGTACTTTTGTCCACGAAGTTTGTTCAGCACATCAAACTTGGCAGCCTCGAGACTCGCCTGGCCGCTTTCGTCGCGATTGATCGTGTAGGAAAAGTTGCTGCGATGCAATCGGCCTTCGGCGATGACTTGGAGATTCATGCCTGGCGTTGCTGCTGCCGCTGGCAAGCTGCTCGAAGAGGAGGCGGCACCAAGCGACGCCAACGCACTGCTCGAACTCAGCCCAGCGCCCATGGCGGCCTGGGAGCTGCTGCTGTTGCTGCTGTTGCTTGAAAGAGACAGGTCATGTGCACGCCGCGTCATTGCAGGTGACGGGGACGGATCACGTTGCACCATGCCCATGTTGTTCAAAGCGATCGAGTTTGTGCGCGAATGATGACTCGGAGTGGCGACAGCAGATGCCAACGTTGATGAGACAGCCGGCAACGTCACACCCAGAATCTTCCAAATGCCGCGGTCGATGCCAATCTCAACAACCTTGTCAGGCTCGCTCCCTCGTAGAGCATTGACCACTGCCTGCCGATTCTTCTCCGTGTAAAGGACGACCATGAGGTGCAAGTCAGAGCGCAAGGACGCCAGCTGCGCCTTGCTTGCCCGCAGGTTGCGTTGCAGCTCCTCCAAAACAGTCAAACTGTCATCGGCAGCAACGGATTGGACATTGGTTGCCGTGCCCCCAACACTACCACTTCCAGGCTCGCCCTTCTTTTGCAGATAGAGCTCAAACTCGACCTGGGTAATGTGCTTGAGCAGCTGACGAACGCGATTTTGCATTTGCTGAATGGGCAGACGCTGATCGGCGCGCTGGGAGAGCTGGAACGTGTACTGCATGGTCTGCAGCTTTTCCAGAGCCAGCTTTTCGGCGGGCTCATTGTACAAGAGCAGATTCTTGACAACGTCGTAGATAACCTCAAAATGGTGGTCGGTCGATGCAATGTCAAGCAGCTGAAACCGCATGGCAAACGTGTTGACACGCTCACTTTCGCCGCTGCCCGCAACGAGCAGTGGTTCTCCGTTTTCTGCAATCACAAGCCGCGTGGCAGCAGCAACTGCAGGTGAATACGGACGTCTACTACTGCCACCGAATGACATCGACGAGTCCGCTGCTCCTGTGGGCATGGACAATCCCAACTGCGACGGCGATAACGCAGAGTTGGCATCGCCAGGGCGTTTCAGTGTCGGTGACGTCCAGCTGGCTCGGCTCGCACCAGTCACATCCCAAGAGTCATTGCTCGTCTGCCTGACAATGCGTCGCTCCGAAGCAAGATGCAATGGCGCGGGACCGCTCATTTGGTCAAATGGCGCGCCAGAATCGTCGCTCGTTCGAGACGGCACAACCCGCATGCGAGATGCTGCTGCCACAGCAGCGAGCGCGACAGTATGGGATCGCTCTGGCACTCGCTCAAAATGAACATACGAGAGCTCGCTGTAGCAACGTGAAGAAATGCGCGTCAGGCGCACCAGAGCTCCGGAATTGGCAGCAACTTGCAACACTGCCCCAAGCGCTGCGGCATCTGCCTTTGCGTCGTGTTTCGCACCTCCAGCGAAATGGCTCTCGGGCACCCAGAACAGGTCGAGGCCAACGCTATCAGAGCGTGCCTCGCGTGGCTCGGTCGGCTTGTCTTGCACAAACAACTCCATATCCACCAGGTGAGAAATCCAGGACGTCTTTGATACGAGGCTGCCACCACTCGCGTCCTGGTCTGTCGCAGTCAAACTAGCGCTCGTTCCTCCAGCAGTTTCCCCTGGCTTTTGCATTCGGTCGGCTGCAGCAGCAGTATTCAGACCGAGCGATATTGGATGGTGCTCCTGGATGAGCAAACGCGCACGGTTGGCTGTCAACATGGCGAGCTCCACCGTCTCCTCTCCTTGGAAGCAAATCTGGGGATGGACAAGCTCAATGTGATACCGCCGTTCAATGACTCCGTCAGCCGCATCATCGCCAGTCAGCGTCACAAGATGGTGGCAACTGGGGCCCAGATCCTCCTCCTCCTGCGTTGTTGCAGAGTCCTTGCGCTGTCCGTCGTCGCTTGAGACGACCAATTTGGTGGCAGTCTCGGCAACAAGTCGGTTGAGCATGCTCACAACATCGTTGCGCCCGGTGTCGGCTCTTGGTCGGCCCACAGGTCGGCCGGACTGTTCAGTTGCAGCGACAGAGCCCATCATGCCGTGCGTCGGCTTGCCTGCAGACTCTGGCGACCAGGCTCGCGGACGGCCTTCGTCACTCCCGCCTGCTGCTGCTGCTGCCGCTGCCGCTGCCGCTGCTGCTGCTGTGGGCAGCCTGGCACCAACCGCGGAAGCCGCAGTGTTCAACGCCAAAGCTTCGCGATCTCGCTCTGGGCCACTGAGCATGGCCATGCCACTCACGCTCGCTCCACGATTGCGGGTGGACGTGGAAGCACCGCCAAGACCCGTACTGGGATGATTCACCGTCGTGCGAAGTGCGTCTGCCGACAAGTCCGCCTTCAAATCTTGCGCGTCCGTGTACATTTTCATGAGGCCAAAAAGAACGTCGCGGTTCCAGCGCGTCCACAACAGCCTGAGATTCATGACAACGAGGCGGTGGACGTAGCGTCCTGCGAGCTCTTCTTCCTCGGAAAGCGCCTCGTCCTCGTGATCGCTGCGGATGGTTCCGACTGAACTCCGTCGAATTCCCGCGCCATCAGTCAGATTGCTTCCAGCAAGCGTGGCCAGCTGCTGCAGGTAGGAGACGGAAGTACAGCTAAAGAGATGATCGACGCGCGTCTCGGGCACGGCATCGTTCCAACCGCTGAATGAGGAATCGCCAGCGTCCAACAACTGGTCAGAGACGTGCTGTCTTGTCAATGACGGCGACGACACGACATGCACTCGAAGGTCGCTCAGCACAAAGCGGCTACTGGTCGCCGACCACACGGGCTCTGGGCGCCGAAGCAACTCGCCCGCATACGGAAAGTAGCGCACTTGGTAGGACGGCGCAACCTCGCATCGACCTGCTTCGAGGACAAACCCCGTCGACCGTGTGTACTCGTTCCAGTAGCGCAAGTTGAGCGCAGGAATGTGAACCGCCAAATCGTACTGGGAGATGAGCGAGTTGATTTGCGGCTTGGGCGGGTCTTGCCGTCCAAACACAACGCCCGTTTTGATGGGAATGGACGTCTGGAGCAGCACCATCAAGAGCTGCAAAAGCCACCGGAGTGTGTTCGAGTACAAGACGCAGGAAGGAATGTTCGGCTGCTGCTCGCTGGTGGACGTGCTGCTGCTCCTCGTCGATGCTCGCTCGTCGGACAAGTCGGACATTGAGGAAAAGTTGAAATGGCATTGCAAATCGCGAGCTCGGAAAAACTCGTACGAGTCAGCCACCTCGCCGTCGTGCAAACGGCTGGTGTGTTCTGGCGCCCGAGGCATGACGCGATGATGGGCGCGTTCATTGCCCTTGCACGTCCAAAACAACCGAATGTCCAGTGCGAGCATGGGACAGTGGACGATGCGAAAATCATCATAGCGCGAGGCAGTTCGGAGAGACATGTCAAAGTCACCCGACAGCATGATGGTTGGGCGAACAGTGGCAGCGTCCGTGTGAAACGCGCCTTGCTGAGCACTACTGCTGCCGCTGCTGCTACCACTACTACTACTAGAGCGACCGAGGGCCCGATGAGACTGCAAAGCCGGCTGCGACCGCAGACGTAAAGGAGGGGCGCGAATGGCAGCCCCGCCCCACTGCCCTTGAAAGTTGCGCCACTGGATGTCAAGTCGCTCGGACTTTCCGTAGGGAGACGGGGATGCGAGAATAGAGCAGCTTACTGACGGAGCTTCTGCGCAAATGCGGCCGTGGAAGAGCAGACGCAGCTTGTCCCAGAACGGCAAGCGCGGGCTCAGGTCGGCTGAAGGGGCCGAGAGCAAGTCGGTAGCAAGTCCCAGTTGTGCTACCACAGGCTCGTAGCAGGTGCCCCACGAGCACTCCATCTCTGACGCGACTACAGACACGTCATAAAAGAATTTGAGAGGAGGCATTTTGCGGAAAATGGTGATGGGCGCCCACTCCCAGCGACCCTTGCGGTCTATGGAACTGCCAGGCATGCTGCGTTGGTTTGGAGGAGCAGAATCCAATCCACCGGCGCTCCGTAGCATGGACGAGCTGGTTGGGTCGGGAGAAAGCATGGTGGAGAACGACGGGGATCGCTTCTGCGTGAGCCAATCCTCGCGCAGCTCGTCCCCATCGCTCTCCACGTTGCCATCCTCGTGGTCCAGATGGCTTGTGCTCGGCTGGTCTGCCACTATCGGCGAGCTAGCAAACGGGGAAGCGTGCAAAGGACTGGGACCGTCACCACTGCTCGGGTCGAAGGCCAGCTCCCAGTCCTTATACTCGTCCTCGGTGTCCATTATCAGGTCGCTGCGCATGGCCGTTTCCAACGCATCCACATCATCGCCGGTATTGACGTCGACAACGACGCGATGGATGGCAGTGGGGTCTGCATCCGGCTCGGCCGCTACCAAGGTACCCACGGCCTGCCATCTGTCCAGCTTGAGCAGCGGAATGGGATAGTCGCGGAGCCCGGCCGTCAGTAGAGAGCACGAGGCGTGGAACCTCCGGCCCCACAGTGTGCTAAACTCGGATTTGGCCCGGGGCGATGGGCTCTCTGGATCCAGCTCGATCATGGCGCGAACGAGACTATCCCTTCCGTGCAGCTTGAGGTCGTAGAGGGCCACAATGTCAATATTGGTCGCCGTCACAAGAAGCAATGCAGTGTGCACGGGACCCTCTTGCAAGAGCATGTCGTGACGCTCCTTGTAGATGGTGGCATTCTTGCGCTCGAGGGCTGCGTACAGCTCCTTGATTTTCTTGTCCGAGAACGTGCGCGCCTGCGAGCGACTGGCCTGCTCCAAGCGCTCGTCCAAGACGGCCTCGCGAAGCAAACGTTGGACCTGTTCGTCCCTCGACAGTTTGTAGTTGAGCCCGAGGGCAACCTCGAACGGGTCGTCTTCAAACTCGACCTGCAGCGACCTTGCCGTGAGCCGAAGGTTGGGGGCAAAAAAGTCGTCGTACTTGACCAACGGTGCACGCCTTCCCGTGCCGACGTACTTGAGCACCTTGATGGTATTGACGAGGCTTGTATCGATTGGCCCGGCGAGATCAAGGCCATGATTGAAGCGAACGAGAATGGTGGCGGCATCGGCCTCGATGAGGGTTGGAGACGTTGGGTGCTTGGTGGAGGCGACGTGCGCGACGTCGTCAAACCGAGCAAACTCGCGGAGATGTGGGTGTCGCAGGCTAATCCGAAGTGTGACCGTCATTGCCTTGACGAGCGGCTGATTGTTCACCGCAAAGGCCAACGAGGACAGGCTCAGTGAGCACGAGTGCCATGGCAAGTCGCCGTGGCTGCTGGATGAGGACGACGGGATCCCAGCAGCAGCAGCTTGGGGCTGCAACGCGGGATTGAACAAGGTACAATGCACAAAAACATCTTCGCATTTCAGTCCAATCTGGTGATGATCGGGCAGTTGGAACTGGGCACAGAGACTGGGGAGATTGACTGACAGCCCAGCAAGGCGGCCTCCCACGATGGGTAGCGTGCCGTTCCGAGGGGCTCTGTTGCTTGGTTGCAAGTGAGCTGGACTTTGGGTGGAGGGATTTGCCTGGTGAAACGGCGCGGCATTCCGGACGGGCAAATAGCGACGGCAGCGATCGCGAAAGAGGAAAATCGACAACAGAAGGGGAACCGACACGTTGGCAAACAAGGTCCCAGTGTCCACCAACACGTGCCAGTCGTCGGGCAGCGCTGCGCGGCTCGTCGGGAGCAATGAAAGTAGCGGATGGTGCAGGGAGATTGAAAAGTTTGACCAATAAAACGCAGAGTGCTTGGTCAGCAGGCTTTGCCACTCGACACCCACCCTTCGGTTGTAGTCGTCGCAGCGCAACGAACAGACTTCGAACGAGTTGGCAAATACCGAAATCAAGGAGCCGCTGACCGTGCGCGCCGAGTCCTCCAACGAGTAGCGCACATCGGCCAGTTCCCCTCGCTGCGGTAGCGGTGCAGAGCTTGAGTCGACAGGAGGTGAAGTGCCGGCTGCCGCTCCAGCCGGTGCAAAAGTCGCATTGGCAAAAGCTGCGGGTTGGGGCCCGTGGAATCCAGAATCGGCACTGGCAGCGCGTTGCACCGGTTGCTGAAAGTGCTGCTGGCTAGAATGGTGATTAGCCACTGTGCGAACGGCCGATAGATGGCTCATATGCAAGACTTGAGTGCTTGCGGCTGACGGGTCGTCCACCATCGATAGAATGAGAAAAATGCTCCGCAACTCCACGTCGAACAGGCAGTCCACAAGAGGCCCAAACGCCGCCAACAGCAGTCGAGGCCTGTTTGCACTCGGTTGAGAAGGCGCCGGCTTGGCAAATCCAGTGTCCAGAACATGGTGTACCAACGAGAGCGTTTGAATCAGATTGGCAGACGTCTCAACAACCAGGCCATCCAGGTCCACATGCAGTCGGATGCGTGTGGCATCGGGCGTCAGAGGGTCAACAGCCCCGTGCTCTGTCGATTGTGCACTGCGAGAAAGAATTTGCCGCTCGTCGCTAAAGCGCGTCCGGAGCTCCAAACTCGAATCTAGCCGCGCTACGGCGAGACACCGACCCCATTGGTGTGTGTGCTCGCTGGGCAGGCAAAAGAAGGCATTGTCGGCGTCGGAAAGGCCGCCGAGTGCAGGCCCCGGCACTGGGGAGCAAGACGCGTGCCATTGAAAGGCCGGAATGGTGGTTGCCTTTGTCAACGCTGCAGTGACAGCAGCAGCAGCAGCAGCAGCAGCACCAACACCACTACCTGCAAAAAGTTGCGATTCATCAAACGGGACGGGCGGCTTTAGCTGGTTGACAACAGGCGACGCGTCGGCGTAGTAATGGACGGAAGGGAAGAACCGCAAAAGATTTTGTGCTCGGCCTGCTGGAACGAGACTCGCGTAGGTGTCTTGCATACATACGGCTGCCATGACAATTCCATCCAGAGGAGTTGCGGCAGCTGCAGAAGGACTTGTTGATGGAGGTGATGGCTGGGTCGAGCTTCCGCTTGTGCTTGCCAAGATGGACTTGCTTCCCGCCGCCAGCATGCGATAGTTGATGGAAAGCGAGAGACTGGCATGTTGGCACCACAAGATGGCCAGGCCAACCGAATGGGGAGAGCAAAGGTCTGCTGCGGAGCGCTGTCGATAGAGAGGTGACTTGTCCGACGGATGCGCTCGGCTGACTGCTGGATTGGGGGAGAAAGCGCCTGCATCGCTGGCGGTGGTGATGATTATGTGTGGCTGAGAAGGAGGAGGCGCGCTGTGGCTGGTTGCCTCGGCTGCACCAGCAACGGTTGGCCGAGCGACAAGACGCAGCACTTCTGCATCCAGCTGCTGCTGCTCGTCATTTCTTTGGCGTTGCTGTCGTCTCCAGAAGTCAGTCAAGCGCTGCTGCTGTCGGTATGGGTACGTGAGAGTGGCGGCAAACTGGTGAACATTCGCCTCGATCTGGGTAAACCGAGCAGCTTGATCCTGTGCAGAGAGTGCTATTTGGCTCAGATCTTGGTGATCGTCGTCAGCGACAATGTCAGGCGGTGTTGTAGGAGATCCGCTTGCCCCATTGTTGCTCGGTCTGCCGCTGAACTTTGGTGTTGCTGTGGCTGCTGCTGGAGCCGCGGTGTCTGCGCCGTAATCGCGCTTTGGAATCGTCGAGTACGGGCGCGTCAGAATGCAAAGCTGCGAGAGCGAGGCGATTACTGTGCATTGGCGAGGGGTGGCCAACAATTGCGAGGCACTGGTTGTGCTTCCCGAATTGGACGCCGCAGGAGCAGACGGCGCCAACGATGCTGGTGCAGGTGCAGGCTGCAATCCAGGGTTTGTGACGGTGACATGTACGGCAACATCTTCGAGCACCACGGCCATACGACGGAAGGTCGCGACAAGCAAGCGACCTAGCCGGTGTGAGGGTTGCACGAGCCGCAACGCCCACCCTGAATGAGCTGGAGTTGCGCTCTTGGGTTGGGGTGCAAGCTCACTGCCGTTGTATTCAGAGCGAGAGCGAGCGGCAGTCTGCTCTGTGACAATGGATCCACGAACTCCCGAGACAGTGACGACGAGCCATTGCAATCGTCGTGCCTGGGCCCCAGTGCTGCCACCAGACGTCTCAGCAGCAGCAGCAGCGGTTGCAGGCTGAGCACGTCGCGGCGGTGGCACGATTGGCGATTTCAGAGATGGTTGTGCATCGGCATCAGCAGCAGCGTCACCCGCGTTATCCTGTTGCTCCGTGGCATAGAACACTGGAGCGAGCTCGGGTGTCAATGCAAACAGTTGGATGGTCACTGCTGCCGCAGTGACAGCCGTCAACGGGCAAGGTTGTTGCAGTGTTGGATTGTCGTCTGGGTGATGGCTGCCTTGTGCACTGGCCGGTGGTTGGTCCTCGTGGCTGCTGCGTGCATGCGCATCGCTTTGTGCTGGCTTGGCAGGGGCAGCGTCGCGTCGCCTAGCAGCAGCAGCAGCAGCAGCAGCAGCAGCAGAAGCAGGCGCAGCAGCGCCAGCAGATTGCTGCGGCTGGATGAGCACGGTTGCGCCGTGGAGCGTCAGACCGGTCATGCCGACAAACGAAATCCGCTGCCATGACACTGCAATGCCCGTTCGAGTGCGCAGCGCAAGGAAGACGAGGCGAACGAGCGCTGGGAAGCACAAGACGAGCGTCGTGAGCGCTGCAATCGACGCTGCCAGTCCCAGCGACCACCACGACCATGATGACAGCGACCACCACGGCAGCACCGTCATGTGGGAAGGACAAGGCGAGAGGGGAGGGGAGGGGGCAGCCGAGTACTCGCCGGGAAGTCGGATTTCTGCGTAGGCGGCAGACCTGAGGTGTGAAGAAGCAAAAAAACAAGACAAAGAAGAAGGAGTGGCCAGCCAGCAACAACAACAACTCGGCTTCTCAGATTGTGTGGGTGTGGCTTTGCGATTGTGTCGTGAAGGCCGCGCGGGTTGAATGTTGAGTGAGTGTTGGATGGACAGCTGGACGCGATGAGCAAAAACCAACCCAAAATCCTCACAATGGATCGGGACGGCGTGACTGTGAGCTATCGCCACGATCGGCCCACCATTGGTACTCGGCTTGGTCAGGCCGATGATAATGGCAGAAGGATTGTCAGGACCCGAGTTTTGCGTCCGTCCAGCCGGCGAGGTTAGCCGGTGGTAGTGAATGAGGATTTAGCATATTCTGGTGTATCAATCAATCGACGTTACCTGGCCAATAGCTCTAAGCCCCAACCCGTGGGAATTGTCAGAACCCGCAGGCTCCTTACAGGAATCGGAGTCTCACAAGGATGGCGGTGTTCAGATCAGCGGTATTCCCGGAAAATAACAAAAATCGAAAAAAAAAAAATCTGAAACCGACAAATTTTGCAATGCAGTCGATTTGTCAGGTAAGTGTTGCAAGGGCATCATTGGGCAAGACCTCGCCGCATCAACCGCGGTATTTCCGAGATCAACCACTCAAAAAGCCTAGATCACAATACGTACCATCACAGCAAGAAAAGCGCGCTGGACAGAATCTGCGTTCTGACCCCAGCAGAGCGCTATAACGTTGGTTGCACTTGCCGAGCTCGATTTCTGACACGTCCAGTCGGTGCCAGACTGCGCACTCTTGCGGATGGATTTTAGATGATATTTCGAATCATTTCCCTCAACAGTGGGCCGATTGCCATGACGAGCGAGCGTGAGTGAAGCTTGATCTTTACCACTTTGGTGTGTGCGCCAATCTTGTTAGTTATTTCCATCGAGAACTCGGATTTTTTTTTTCCCGTCCTGCGAGATCGACTCGATGTACCAGACACACTCACGTCAAGCCATTCATCCAAGGCCATGATCGTGACGCACAGGGCGACCTCGGCTGCAATCGCGGGTGCTGACAGCAACGAACGCCATTGCCCATGCGTGAATTGCCTTGTGACGATGCTGCCCCTGATGACGAATTGCTTGATGTATTTACTGATTGATTGATTGAATGATGTACTTCTGACATTCGACCCGAACGATGACGAGCGGCTCCTCTGCACTTCGGAAAGGACTCGTTTCAATACAAAATCCCAATCCAAACCCGATCCGTACGTTTGTTCCAGTCGCCATCCCTATTTTCTTGTTGTTGTTGCTGTTGTTGTTGTTGCTGTTCTAGCTTTCCGTTTTATTCAGTCAGTCACTCTCACTCCTTTATTCTAGCCGTTTCTCATGGGCAACGTTCACACAGTCGGACCGAACGAGGCGCTCGTCATTTCGGGTGGCTGCAGTTCTGGCGCTCGCAAGGTCATTATTGGCGGCTACGGCTTTGCCTGGTGGCTCGTCTCTGACATTAAGCGGTGAGTCAGCGGCAGTCATCAGAGAGCGAGGAGTAGTGAGAGTGAGGGAGAGAGGATTGCAGACAGATCAGCATGATGCAGCAGGCAAAGGTGAATGGTGAATGGCGGGGAGGGGGGGGGGAAACGCGGCCAATTGCACGTATCAAGAGTGAATGTGAGCGAGTGAGTGAATGTGAGTGAGTGAGTGAAGTGAGTGAGACAGGCATTGAAGCGTTCACTGTAGATGAAAGCAAAAAAAAAAAAAAAAAAAAAAAAAAAACCAGATTCATGCCATTCTCTCGGCTGCGATGCTGCTTTCGTTGGCGTTGGCTGGGGCAACAACTCAGTCCACTCTGGCGTTGTGTGTGTCTGTGTCTGTGTGACGGATGTGCTTCGATGGGAGACTTGACAAAGAAACGAACAATACAAAAAGCAATACAAAAAAAAAAGAAAAAAAAAAGCGTGTTTGAATGTTGTTTGCTTTTTTTTTTTTTTCTGTTGTAAATGCAGATGATGAGCGAGTGTGTCGCAAGTTAGTGTGAGTGAGAGAGAGAGAGAGAGAGAGAGAGAGAGCAAAGGGGGAGACAGAGGAGAGAGCAAAGGGGGAGACAGAGGAGAGAGATCACCCTGATGAATGGAACGGTGAACTCCAAAAAAAAAAAAAAAAAAAAAAAAAAAAAAATTCAAACACAAAGATTTCTTGTGACGTCGTTGTTTTTGAAGTTGAACAAACAACAACAACAACAACATCAAACAAGAACATCAAACATCAAACAACAGAACATCAAACAAGAACATCAAACATCAAACAAGAACATCAAACAAGAACAACTTCTTTGTGCTTTTTACTCATCCAATCATCCAAAATCTCAATTCCAAATGCAAATCTCAATCTCAATCTCAATCTCATCTGAAGAAACGACTTCTGGTTCAATTCACTCATCTCGAAATTGAAACAAAAAGTCACCGCCCATTCAATCTCCATTCTACAATCTCCATTCTCCATTCTGACTGACTTGACTGACTTGCCTGAATTGACTCACTCAACACCCCACTACGACTGACAGACTCACTCTCGAGGTCCTCACCCTCGAACCCGTCTGCAACGACGTCGAGACAAAGCAGGGCGTCGCAGTGTCGGTCTCGGCCGTCGCACAGGTCAAGTTCCTCACCGAGCGCGCACTCCTCGAGAAGGCAATGGAGCAGTTTCTCGGCAAGTCCACGCGCGAAATCCAGGACGTCATTGTGCAGACCCTCGAGGGCCATCTGCGCGCCATCCTCGGCACGCTCACCGTCGAGGAAATCTACAAGGATCGCGAAAAGTTTGCAGAGCTCGTGCGCGAGGTCGCCTCCCCCGACGTCGGCAAGATGGGCGTCGAAATCCTCTCATTCACCATCAAGGACATTGCCGACAAGGTCGGATACCTCGACTCGCTCGGCAAGAAGCGCACCGCAGAGGTCAAACGCGACGCAGACATTGGTGTTGCCCACGCCAAGCGCGACGCTGGCATCAAGGAAGCAGAGGCACAGCGCCGCCACATGGACGTCAAGTACGCCGCCGACACTGAAATTGCCGACGCCAAGCGCGGCTACGAGCTCCAAAAAGCCCAGTTCGACCAGGAGATTAACACCAAGAAGGCCACGGCCGAGCTCGCCTACTCGCTCCAGGCCGCCAAGGTCCAGCAGTCCATCAAGCAGGAGAACATCCAGATTGAAGTTATTGAGCGCCGCAAGCAGATTGAGGTCGAGGAGCAGGAAATCATCCGTCGCCAGTACGAGCTCGAGGCCCAAGTCCGCAAGCCCGCCGACGCCGACAAGTTTAAGATTGAGACCTTGGCGCAGGCCCAACGGACCCGCACCATCGTCTCCGCCCAGGCCGAGGCCGAGGCCATCAAGCTGATTGGTGCCGCCGAAGCCGCCGCCATCCAGGCCAAGGGTATTGCCGAGGCCGACGAAATGCGCATGAAGGCGGCCGCCTTCAAGCAGTACGGCAACGCCGCCATCATGAACATGGTGCTCGAGGCGCTGCCCAAGATTGCTGCCGAGATTGCCGCCCCGCTCGCCAAGACCGACAACATTGTCCTCCTCTCTGGCGACAGCAACGCCACCTCTGCCGACCGTGCCACCTCCGAGATTGCACGATTGGTCGGCCAACTGCCCCCAGCCGTCCAAGCCATCACTGGCGTCGACCTCACCAAGACCCTTGCGCGCCTCGCCTCGGGCTCTGCCACGGCCCCTGCTGCCACCGCCACTCGTTAACTTTGTTTGGTTATTGGATGTCTTTGACCATGAGTGTGTGTGAGTGTAACAAAACCTAAAAATTCAGGCAAAAACAAAACAAACAAAAAAAAACAAAAAAAAAAAAAACCAACTGCGCATGTGTTATGGAGTTGGTCAACGGTTGACCATGAGCATCCTACTACACCGTTGAACTTTGTATTGTACTTGTAGTCAGGGCAAGCCAAGATCAGTCCTCCATAGTCAAAAACACGCTTTGTACGATGCTCCAGCGAGCTCAGTCCGTCGTCCTCGCCACCACCGCCACCGCCGCCGCCCGCGCCTGGTGCACTTGCACTGTTCCTGCGATGCGTAGCACTCTTCGGGCTGCTGGACCCCGCGCGTCCGTGTCCTGCAAACCGCTCGAGCATCTGCAGCGGCGATTCCTGTTCACTGCTCGACCCGGCGGCGCATCGACCGAGTCACCGTCACCGCCGACGAGCGATGGAGCGACACTGGCACCAGCATCAACAGGATTGAGTGCCGCCGCTGGGGCTGCCTCGACCGCTGCCTCGACCGCTGCTGCTGTTGCTGGATCTGCATTGCTGGATCATTCGCCCCAAACCGCAGCAGCGCCGCCGACGCCACCGCTGGTCGTCTCTGTGCCTGGCGTGCAGCGACCCGTGCACTGCGAGCCGGTTGCAGCAGACGAGACGCGGATTCCGACGGCGCACTTGCTCGGCGCACCGGAGCGGGCGCGGATGGTCGCTGCGCTCAAGAGCCTCAAGCGCAGGCACCTGAGCAGGCAGCGATCCGCAGCAGTCCTCGTCCCGCTCTGCACCGTCAACGGCGTCCCGTCAGTGCTCTTCACTGTGCGCGCGTCGTCATTGTCCAGCCATTCGGGCGAAGTCAGGTGAGAGAGTTGTGGTGAATGAATGTTGCATGTTGAGCTCAAATTTGGCTCAAATTTTTGGAGCAGCTCAAAATCCTGCAATCTTGAGCCAATTCTCGATTGTGGTTGTTGTGTTAAAGTTCTATACTAACGTCTGGTTTTGACTGCTTGAACCTCGGCTGCATTGATCCACAATCACCGACAGCTTCCCTGGTGGCATTCGCGACCCAACAGACGCCAGCATTGAGGAAACAGCGCTGCGCGAGTCCTTCGAAGAGCTCGCCATTCCAAAAGACCAGATTGACATTCTCGGGTGCTTCCATGACACGCTGGACAAGTCGCGAACCATCTCTGTAACACCCGTGATTGGCGTCCTGAAGGACGGCTTCCAATTGTCAGACATGCGATTGTCGCCAGGCGAGGTGGCGAGCGCATTCACCCTGCCAATCGACCAGATTATCAACCCGGCCGTGCGCCAATTCGCCATCATGGACAAGCAGAGCGGATATCGGATGCCCGTGTACCAGGGTGGGCCCGCGGCAGTCTGGGGCCTCACGGCCTTCATTGTCGAGTGCGCGCTCGCAATGGTGGTCGTGCCTGCCTCTGTGGATGACACCACCAGCCCGGCCGTCCGTGATGCAGTGGAGCGATATCGGAGAGTGACTGAAACCAACATGACTGAGCGAGCGGCGCGGTTTGTCCAATCACTGTCCAAGAAGCCATGATTTTGCTTGTTTGGGGGGATTTACTTTGTGTGTGTGTCTAAAGCCGTATGTATTGCTGATGATTGAAATATACCAGTTGGGCCTTTGTTCGCTTTGGAGAACAGTGTTTCATGGACGACGAAAAACAACCAAGTATCTTCTTTATTAATAAATTAATTCGTAAGTCACAAAACTAGCGCGACGTCGGTGTGGTGCTGCTGCCGCCGCTGTGGGGCATCGGCGAGTAGCTTGCACGCAAAGCTGGATCGGAACCAAAGGATGCTTTGCCGCCCGAGGTGGGAGTCGACCCAGGTCCAGCGCTTCTCGTCGGGGTGGCTCGAAAAGTACCGGCTGCAAATCGCTGCGCGGCGGGCGAAAGCTGACTGAATCGCTGAGCTTGAGCCATCGGGCTGGACGGCGGAATGTTGGTCTTGCGATTGTTGGGAAGACGAGGAACGGCAAAGGATGGCGAAGAAGTCGAGCCTCTGCTGGCATTGCCGGATTTACTGATGAGCGACGACTTATCGGCCAGTCCAATGGCAATTTGTTCGCGGGGACGCACTTCAGGCAACGAGTAGGTGGGGCCTTGATGACGGGGCGTCGAATCGGCGGCATCGAGCCGGAATGGCGTACCGTCAATCATGCCCCAGGTCATCATGGGCGTGGCATCCACACCTGGCACAGGTGTTGGCGTAGACAAGAACGAGTGGCCGCCGACGCGCGGGGTCTCAGGCTCAAAGCCACGGGGAAGGCGGATGGACGCGCCGCCAGGCGCATTCACAACGACGCTGACGGATAGCAGGGACGCAGCGGCTGCCTGTGATGGAGCTTCCGCAGCACTGCCACCTGGTGTTTGTGCTGCTTCGGCACTCGCTGTCTGCTTGCCCTTCTGCGAAGACTCTGCCGCAACCGCGGCCAAAAAGTCGTCGTCGACACGAGTATTGGCGTGTTGCACGACGCGCGAAGCCACGGACGATTGCTGGTTGGCAACACCATCGACGGGGAACATGAGTGTGTTTTTGGGTGTGTACTTCCAACGCGCTACAGCAGAGCCCGAGCGATCGTTTGGCGGGGGCAAGATGGGCGCTGCGTCTCGCAGAGTTTTCGCGTCGGAAGCCTCCACGATCGCTCTTCCACTCGCCGCCGCGTCGGCTGCAGCAGGATCTGTCGATGATGAAGACATAGAAGGGTTGTCGCTTGCAGCGGGTGCGTCTGTACCAGCAGTGATTGCCAGCAATCCGCTGCTTCCCATGAGTGCCAGCGGCTTGGCCGTTGAGCTCGCGCCCTTGTACATCCACGCGTACTTTTCCCGGTTGCGTTTCTGCGTTCGCTCCATGATCTCTGCGAACGATGCGTTGTCCTCGCTCGTGTGTGTCGCGAGAAACTCGTCCAACGACAGCTCGCGCGGATCTGCCAGTCTCGGACGTCGCCGCGGACCGCCGATTGAATCCATCTCGCCATGGCCATCTTCATCCTTATCATCAGCTTCATCACTGTCATCGTCTTCTCGAGATGCAAAGTGACTGTCTTGGTCGCGACGTCGCTTTGAGCCTCGCGTGTGCATCGCTTGGTCGCTTGCTCCAGCCGCCGCAGCCGCCGCCGCCGCCTCGCCTGGTCCGAATGCTCCTTCGCTGTGCTCGCCTCTCGTGTCTCGCGGGGTCTCGTCGCCCGTCATCCTGGCGCGCGGCGTTGCGAGCAGTGGCGTTGCGTCTCCGGCGTCGAATCGCCGACGACCGCTGCCAGGCGCCGCCCAGCCAGACCCATTGGCGCCATTGATACTACTGTCACTGTTGGCACTAGCACTGGGTGTCTCGGCGGGGCGGCCTCGCGTCGAGTAGTAGCCTCGCTCAGTCACCGCCGTCCCTCCGCCGCCGCTCGTGCGCTGGTTGTACTTGGCTGCGATCGCCCGCAGCAGCGCTTCGTCCTTGCGCTCGAGGGCCTGCAAGTACTCGTGCTGAGCGCGCAGCTTGGACAGGTGCGGGAAAAAGTCGCGCTGGATGATGCTTTCCAAGGCGCTCAGATACGCGTCTTCATCGAGCACGCGACCCCTGCCACCAGCACCAGCACCAGCACCAGCACTTGTACTTGTACTACTACTAGAATGAGTATTAGTAATAGAGCTAGATCCAGACGAGGATGCGGATGCCATGGAAAGCAGACTATTGTAAAATAACAGACTGGCCTTGAAGCAGAAAGAGGCCGTTTCTGAGAATCAGAGAACCACGAGAGTTTGAGCCGAACGTGCATATTCAGCTTTGCTCATATACATGTATGGAGCAAGTTGTTCACTGTTGAAACACTTTCCCCCCAATGCTGCTCTCCCCTGTTGTTGATCTACTTCTGCGAGCACCACAAACCCCTTGAGCTATCAGTGGCAAATACAGTGCATGACACTGGCCTCTAAGAGCACAACCTCCCCTCCCCCTTTATGCAAATGGGAGGCTCAGTGCTGCTCATCCGCTCAGAACGAGCTTTTGGTGCTGAGCAAGCAAGCAAGCAAGCAAGCGCATTGTGGATTTATTTCCAAAGCAACAATCTCACATTCACATTCGCATTCACATTTACATTCAGTCTTATTTGCGATATTCATTGTCTGAGCAGAGCAGAAATGCAGTCCACGACGACCACGCTCAAGCCAGCGAGCCAGCCAACAACAACCTCGACCTCGACCTCGACCCCAACGCCAAGCAATCCTACGAGTGCGAGCAGCAGCAAGCAGCAGACCACCAAGCAGCAGCAGACCAAGCCGCAGCAGGGCCAGCAGCAGTCCAAGGCAGCGGCGCCGGGCAAGCTCGTGTTCAAGACATACACAACGTCGCCGTACAGCTTGCAAGGCCCGCAATGCATGGCAAAGCAAGACACTGCAGAGATATTGGAGCTGCTGAAAAGGTCGGTTTTTGTTGGCGAGTGAGAGAGTCCGCGAGTGAGCTTCCAAGCAGCTCAATGTATACGCACTCACTCACTCACTCACTCACCAATATACTTGTGCATCTATGGCGTTTGGTCACCATTGCAAAAAAACCAAACATGCTTAGATATACGCTGCAGTTCCCGCCAAAGTCAAACTCAAGGCGGTCGTTCCTTTATATCGGTGCACAAGCGTGCTTTACTCACTTTCGCAAGTGTGCTGCGATCGTTGTCGCTCAGGTATGATGCTCATCAGACGATTGATTGGAAACAAGTCCAACACGGCATTTGCTGAGATGCTGAGGTCCTTGACATTGGGCTCAAGTCCTGAGATTCGAGCGGATTTCTATTGATACTCATTTCGCAATTTCGCGTTCTACCTTGTGCAGCAAGTCCAACCAGACGCCATTTTTCGCCATTTAGCCACCATGAGCCACGTAACCTCAGTCCCAATGCTACCCTTGGATTGCGACAGTGCGACGCTTGGCGCGAGTATCGGACTAAACTCTGCCATTGTCGTTGGTATTCGCTCACCATCGGCAATCCCGAAAGAGGTCAGTGCAGTTGTGCTTGGGTTTTGGTATTTGTCGAGTGCGCTGCTGTTGCGATGCATCATGACTACTGAAAGACAAGTCAGGTAACGACATTGCATTGTTCGCTCACGCTGACTTGTTCCTCGCTGACAGAAACAACTTCCGTTAGAACTCCAACAAATCACGACAAAAGCGCCGGCTTGGAATATTCCGTGGATTCCAAAACTGCCACAGCTCGATTCGAGTCATGCATCAAAACCTTCGTTAACTTCCGACAATGCCGTTGTTGCAGCCCCCACAGCTGCCGCAACCTCGGGCACGCTGCAACCACTTGCGCTTGTTCATGTACTTGCAACCTCAAAGCCAAACAAGCAATCCAAGAAGGTCAAGCGAGCAGCCCGCAAGACGGCAGAGTTGCAACGAAAAACAAACACTCCTGCTACAAGCACAACACCCAAATCCAACCCACGTACTGGGCGACCCTCTCCATCCGCACGAAGAGCCGAATTGAATGCAGTGCAAACTCGTGCACGGCAGTCACTTGTTAATTCCAATCGCCCTGGTCTTGCCTCCACACACGCTGCAAAAGTTGCTTCGGCGGCCAAGATTAGCTCCAGTTGGTTGGAGTCGCTGCGTGCAACCCAGCGCAGTTGATTGCTTCGAGCTGCATTCGTCATTGAATATGTATCTCTCTGCTTCCAATTGTACATGATGGTTGACAAGCACCATTTGCTAAACTGTGTACAATCCTACAAACCTTGCTCTGACCAAACACTGTATTTGACTCATTTCCGCCGTGATTCGCGTTTTTAAAGGCCATCGGCAACAACATTGTACTCGAGGAATCGCGCAACTTCGTGGGACGAGCCGAGGGCTACAGCGCATCGCTCGTCGTAATCGGACACGCGGCGATCCATGACGGAAGGGTTGAGACCGTCGGTGCTTCGTCCGCCAGCAGCCTCAATCATGAGCGACAACGGCGCAACCTCGTACAGCAGACGCAGCTTGAGCGGGGCAGTCTTGGACGGCGGGTTGCAGAAGACGCCGTTGCCCTGAACGAGAATGTGAAAGACGTCCGGCACCATGGCGCCAGTGTAGCGAAGGGTCTTTTTGCTGGAAATCCAGTAGTTGACGAGTCGCTGGTAGGATGGGTTGTCTGCGGTCGCGCGGAGGTTGCCCGGAGCAAAGACCTTGCCGTCTGCGGCAATCTTCATGTCCGCGATGGTGACTTGCCACACGCCTCGAATGTGGGTGAGCTCGACAACGTGCGGCTTGTCATCCTTGGCGGCCGACGCGGGAATTGCAATGGCGAGCACGTCGCGCGGGCCGTAAATGGAGATGGCCGAGCCGAGCTGGTCGCCGCACTTGCGTCCAATGAGCTCGCCGTGGGGCCAGATGCCAAAGATGCTTCCGACGGCAAAGTTTGGCGCAATGCACGACGATCCGTCCAAGGGGTCGAACGTGACGACCAGTCCGTTCTCGCGGGCGTCGGCGGATTGCTCCTGGGTGAAGAAGGCGACTTTAGTCGTCTCCTCCTCCTTCTGTGAGACCTGCTGCACCTGCTCCAGCTGATGGAGGGGCACGGCGACGGGGTTTTCCTCGCTGGCCCCGACCGAGACGGCGCCCGAGTCGCGCAGTGCGTTGAATACAATCTTGTCGGCAATGACATCGACCTCGAGCTGGTGGTCGCCAAAGACGTTCGTGGTGCCTGCCTTGCCGACGCTGGCCGACCGCAGCGTGTCTGCAATCTGCGCAGTGGCGTCTGCGATTGCGTTGAACGTGGCAGCGAGGCGAGCGTCGCGCACAACGGCAGTGAGCACGTCCGCGAGCGTAGTCGTGGTGGTCGAGGACATCTCTGAGTAAAGAAGAAGAACAAGAAGAACAAGAAGAAGAACGAGGTGGTAGGAGGATGAGCACAACGCAAGGTAAAGAGAGAGAGAGAGAGAGAGAGAGTCAAAAGGTGAAGATCCGGTAGACTGACTGGACTGACTGAGTGACTGTGAGTGAGTGAGTGAGAATGGAAGAGTGAGGCAAAGCATGGTTGGACCAATTTGGACGAATTTGTGTGATCAACCCAGCAGACACACGGCGACGGCAGCAGAGAGAGAGAGAGAGCTCAAGGCTAGAGAAAGAGAGATCGAAATGAATGACTGGGTTGAAGTGAGCCGGGTTGGACTCGGACTGAGGGATGAGGATGAGGGATGAGGATGAAGAAGGATTTTGCGTTGTGACCACAGCTCGACAAACGGCAATTGCCACATGTGAGCAGCAGCACATGGTACTGTAACATGGTGAGGGTCAACGACAAGCTCACACAAACACAGAACAACACAGGCAAGATCACAAAGGCACAAAATTGGGGAATTGAGGGAACAAAGGAGCACAGCACAGTTGAAAGAGAACGTTGAACTCAGTCCCCTCGTCAACACTCTCCTTCCATCAGCTGGACTTCCGAGTCGAGCATCGAGAGAGAGAGAGAGAGAGAGAGAGAGAGAGAGAGAGAGAGAGAGCACTCATTGTCATTCGCTATCGTTGGCGACGCGGCAAATCACCACCATGCTCACCGGGTCGGGCGCGAATGAGTGCATCAAAATTTCTGAGACATTGAATCCATGATGACAAACGGCAGGTTCCGCTGCGGCTGATTTTTTTTTTCTTTGCGTAATCCCGGAGCAGTCGGTCCACTCATCGCGCTTGCAAATTGTCTTTGTGGACAAATACAGATACACATCAATCCATAACACTTTCATTGTAATATAATGCCTCTCTTCTTGTTGTTCAGTCCTTTGTTTTCCATTGAGTTTGTCATTTTTGAGTATTCATTTTCCCGCCAAATTTTCAATCCAAACAAGCCGTCTTCTTCTTCCTCTTTGATTCCTTCTTTTTCCCTCCATCCAATGCCAGCGGATGCCAGTCTCCTCGGCAGCAGCAGCCCTAGTCTGCGTGCGAGTACAAGCTCAATTGCGACCGCCCTGCACTCGCCGGTCTCGCCGGTGGGCTCGGTGCCCAGCAACCTCCTCCACACTCAAGCGATCGCCCAGTTCAAGGTCATCCTGGTGGGCGACGCGTCCGCCGGCAAGACGTCGCTGCTGCACCGCTTCATCCACGGATTCATGCCCGAGCACACTGTCGCGACGATCGGCGTCGACTTTGACGCGCGCGAGGTCTTCCATCCGCGGACGGGCCAGTTTGTGCGCATCCACCTGTGGGACACGGCCGGCCAGGAGCGCTACCGCACAGTCACAACGTCCTACTACCGCGCAGACGGCTGCTTGCTCGTCTACGACCTCACAAGCCCAAAAGCACTCGCGTCCGTCCGGTACTGGCTCGACGAGGTTGCAGAGTGGGCGCCGTCCTCGATTGTCACCCGCGTCGTGGGAAACAAGGCCGATCTCGAGGACAAGCTCACCCAGGAGCAGGTGGGCAACATCCAGGCCATCGAGACCCTTGCTACATGCCAAGGCGCGACCGCATCGCGGATGAGCGTTGCGCAGAACGCAGACGCCGTCGACGAGCTCTTTGTCAATCTGATCGACGCCATGCTCGACCAGGCGACCGCCTCTACAGCCATTCTGGCAACCAGCCCGTCATCCCAGCGCGACATCCGATCGCCCAGCTTTTCTCTCCACGGCAGGAGAGACTCGTTGGGCGCACACTCTGTCGCATCCACCTTGCTCGAGTCCTCGTCGTCAGCGTCCTTCTCGCCGCCCTCAGGCCGACGATCCCCGTTTCAGAGCCTGCTTGCACTGCGAAAACCATCCGATAGTCCAGGATCCGCCAGCTCCACCACCACTACTAGCAGCTCCCTCAGCAATCCCAGCATGGGCAGCATTGAATCTTTCGTTGCCCGCTCGCCCAGTCCGACCTCGGCTCGCACCGAGGCGGCACGTCGCAAGCGAAAGCAAGCTGCCAATCTAGAGTTTATTGAAGTTCGCAAATCAAGTCGGTGTTGCGTTATTTCATGAGCTGCCAAGCTCGACAAGTTTTTTGTTTTGCTGCTGTTTTATATAAGTGTTGTGATTTCACAATTTTGTTTTGCTTGCTTGTTTGGTTGATTGTTTTCGCTTTTCCCGATTTCTTGTTGGTTGCTTTAGCTTTTGGTTTCATTACAATTTCAAGTTTAGTTTAATCAAAATTCACAAAAGTTGTGGTACACGCCGTTCAAGGGGCTTTAGCACACTGCGCGGGCGGCCTGGAAGGCATTGCGCTCCTCTTGGACATCGTGGACGTAACGCACAGAATCCTCAGAGGGAACATCAATGCCCGAAACGGCACTGAAAAGCTCGCCAGCGGACATGCAGTTGGCGGCGCCTCGTTGGGCAAAGAACCGCGTCACATTCTCGCAATCGCGCAACAGGAAGAGCAGGGCCTGAGGGTGCATCGTGTCCACTGCTTGGGACAGATCAATAAAGTAGGGCTCGTCCTGCCAAAACCTGCACGCAGACGAAACAAACAAAAACACGATTCATCCAAACCGTCAGCATGCGTTGACTCGTGGCAGAATCACATAAGTAGGCAGTAGTACAGGCACTCACAGAATGTTATACTCGCTCAAGTCTGCATGCACGAGGTGGCACACATTGTACATGCGCGTCATCATGTCCACGACCTGGTCGTAGCACGCCTCGAGAGCGGCAGACTCCAGTCGTGCCTCCTTCAACTTGGGTGCTGGTACGCCATCCTCACCGAGGAAGGTCATGACGAGCAAGTGCTGTCGCAAGACTACCACCTCCGGGCAGTTGATTCCGGCCGCAGCCAGTCTGGAGCAGAAGAAAAAGTCATTGAGCAACCTCCATGCTTCACCCCAACCTCTCTTCAATCCATCCAACCAACAACAACAAAAAACGCTCACTTGGCGAGATTATGAGTCTCCTTTTCGGCCCACAGCTTGATCACTTTGCGAGGGTTTTGCTTGGAGTGCTTGTCCTGGAAGCGGAAATCGTCCTCCATGTAGTCCTTGCGGTTGCGGAACTCGTTGAGGGTGGTCTTGAAGATCTTGATGGCGACTTCCGCAGGCATGGCAACAGCGTCGGGCGCGTCCTCGTCGGGCTCGGGGTTGCCAAACGCGTGGTACACGGCAGCCTCCTTGCCCGTCGAAATGACGCCGTTGACCTCGAGCAGCGAGCCATTGTTGACCATCTTGTAAATGATCATGCGGGTGCGCGAATCCATGACCAAAGCGTGCGTCGAGTGGTCCTGGCGACCGTGCTGTCGTTGCCGGTTGTTCTCCTCCTTCTTGGAGTGCTCGCGCAGCTTGTTGAACGCAACAGACGAGATTCGAATGTCGCCGTCGTTACCAATGTGGCCTGATTGGAAGTTTGGAGGGAACTGGAGCAAGCAGGCGCAGGTTTTGGGGAATCAAACAAACAAGGAACAAACAAACGAACAAACAAACAAACGATCGGGTTGAGCTGATCAACATTGGCAAAGGCAACCGACCAAACAAGCTCCCTAAAAAAGCGTACTCGCTCGATTTTGCGCGCGTTGCGGAGATTGCATGCGGAGGCGTCGTGCTTGGTGATGCTGTTGAGACCACCTCGTCGGCGACCGCGGGGCAGGTTCCCGTGGCCTTCGGCAGCGCCGCTGATCAGCTGGCCTTGAATGGGACCATCACGCACTTTGAGCGAAAAGGTAAGGTGAGGGAATTTTGAGATTAGACCCCGCGAGCCAGACGGTCTACACCAGCAATTCAAAGTCAAACGCAAAAACCTACCGACGGTGGGATCATGAAGCACATCATCGTCGTTGTCACTGTCGTCATCGTCGGCGCTGTCATTGTCATCGCTGAGCACATTGACTCGGTGATGGTGGAGCGACATGGCCACTAGAATGCACAACATGAGAACATGTCAGCGCGGATGAAATCAACAATACGAACACAAAAACCCACGCACCCTTCGAGCCGGGAATGTTCATCTTGCGCTCGGACCGAGCAACCTCCTCGTTGTACTCGAGATCAAACTGGCGCTGGAGCATGGCGGCAATGACCAAGTCGTTGTCGGGCGAATCCTCCCGCTGGTTGCCGTCTTCCTGTGCAATTCGGCTCAGCTCGAGCGCCAGCAGCAAATCGGGGTCTGTTTCATCAGCAGCAGCCGCAGGCTTGTCTTGTCCATGCTCATCTTCGTCGTCGTTGTCATCATCGTCGTAGTCGTCCGTGAAATCGTCAAACTCGTCGCCTTCGCTGCAGTCGTCGTAGTCTTCGTCGCTCACCGCCGACCGCAGCGTCTTGCCACCGTGCTGTGACGATGCAGATCCAGCAGCAGCAGTAGTCTTGCTCGAGGGAGTCGGCTTGCCACGCGCGTCATCAAACTCGGCGGTGGCGACGGCAGCACGTTTGCCCTTCTTGTCGCTCAACGCCACTGCCGTCATTGCAGCAGCAGCAGCAGCATCAGCATCATGAGGAGCAGGCTTTGTCGAGGTGTCCTGCAGGGCGAGCTTGCGCGCGAGCTCCTCGTCCATGAGGGTCTGCAGCGACGCAACGGCAGGCTTGCACGACATTGGTCGCCACGCGCTCTTGCCGGTCGCAGCAGCACTCGTAGGAGCCGTCGGACCTGCTTCACCAGTCGCAGCACCAGCAGTCGCAGCACCAGTCGCAGCACCAGTCAAAGTCGCCATTCCAAAAAAAAAAAAAATCACAGGCAGAATAATAGAATGAAAGCGAAGCAAATTTGGGGAAAATGCTCAAAAACTAACATTTTGGATTTGGACGATTGTGCAATCGATTAAGTAACAGTTCGTTGTGAGCGCAGGGCTCAGCTCAGCGAAGATGAACACTGCGATTCGCTTGTGCAATGGGAATCACTCTCGTTTGAATACACAGAATGTTCAAGAAATGATGGACAACTTGGGGAAAAAAAACAAGAACTTGGAACTTTGCATTTGCTTTTTAACAGACAACAAAAGAAGACGAGGAAGAACGCAGAGAAGGAGCATTCACAAGGTTACAACAGGCCAGGAAAGAAAAAGACAAGGACAAAGCATGCACAGCAAAAACAACAGGTTTGCGGCCCACCTCGCCCCCCTCTGCGAGAACATGACACGAAATAAAAAAAAAACCAACACCAAAAAGAAAAAAGAAAAGAGCAACAAAATCCCACCAGAAAAGACACACACAAAAACCACTCAAAGGGCAAATTCACAGCACACACACACACACACTAGCCCAAAGCCTTCCATCAAGTCGGACCGCGGGCGCTCATCAACAAAGAGAAAAAAAAATCAAGCCAACCTTTTTTTTTTTTTAGTATTGGCCAAAGCCTTGTTGGGGAACACCATAGCCACCGTATGCGCCTGGGGGCAGCATCGTGTTCATGCCAGGGGCGCCGAGCATGAGCTGGGGCTGGCCGTACATGAGCGGGACGGGGGCGGCAGCGGCGTCCTCCTCCTGGTCCTTCTTCTCCTCGTGCTTGGCAAAGAGCTGGTCGACCTTGCCAAGGTACTCGCGAGTGGTCTGGATAATGTAGGGCATGGCAAAGTCCAAAATGTTGTGCGACCAAGCAAGCTCGAGCACCACGTCCGGTCGGAGAAGGTCGTAGCAGGTAAAGAGGGCGGCGGCAAAGCACTCGTTGTTCTTTTGCTGGACAAAGTACGACAAGAGCGACTCGGCGAGCTCCTGGTCCTTGGACTCGGCGGCGTACTCCATGGCGTCGCGGAAGAGGCGGTCTTGCTTGCAAAGCTCGACCGAGAACTGCCAGCGGCCGTTGCGCTTGTACAGGTAGGCGGCAATGCGGCGGAACTCGATGAGCTCGTGCTTTTCGAGTTGCTGGGCGAGGGCGACATTGTCAAAGTTGTCGTGGCCGTCGACCGAGGCGCGGAGCTTGACATAGTCCTCCTCTTGGATGAGCAGCTGGTTGTAGGCCTCGTTGACGGGCTTGAGGTTGTTGCTCTGGATGGCGACAAGGTAGGGCTTGACGAGGGCGAGTTGCTTTTGCTTGGCAAAGAACGAGACGGCGCGAGCGTGGTCGATGCGGGGAATGAGCACCGTCAGCAGCTCGTTGAGGAGCAGCGGCTGGTAGTCGAGGTAGTACTGGAGCGCCTTGTGGTAGAGCTCCGAGTTGGCAACCTTGCCAATGACATCCTTGAACTTGGCGTGCTCCCAGGCGTCGACGGGGTGACGCATCATGGTCAGGGCTGCGTTGTCAAACTCGTCATAGTGGACGTACAGGAAGACGAGCTCTTGCCAGAGGTGGGCATCCTCGGCGGCGCGCAGCACCTTGGGAATGTTGACGCGCGACCAGAAGAGCTTGAGGTGCTCCATCATCTTCTCGGGGCGGAACTTGGAGTAGAGGATGGCGAGCTCGGTGAACATGCCCATGTGAGCACGCTCGAGGCCAAGGCCGGCCTCCAGGAGCGAAATGAGCTCGTCAAAGTGGCCACGCGCTTGGTAAAAGTTGATGAGCTCCTCGAGCTCGTCGGCGTGGACGACAATGTGCAGAGCGCAAATCTGAGCCAGGCGGAACTCCTTGGCATCGACGCAGGCAAAGCAGACCTCCTTCCAGGTGCGGGTCGAGTTGGCCTTGCGGGCAGAGTCGACGGCAGCCTGGAACTCGCCGAGGTGGACGAGGGTCTGGGCGAGGCGAGCAAAGTTGCTCACATTGTTGTAGAGCAGCTTGGCAGCCTCAAACATGCGCTCGTCGTAGCATCGGTCGCCGACCTGCTGGATCTGAGCAACGTTGGGGCCCGAGATAAAGTCCTCGAGGTCGGCCAGACGGTTGGTCTTGGCAAAGGCAAAGATGAGCTCGGTCTCGACGTAGGGTTCGCGAGCCTTCTTGCGGGCCATCTGCAGGTAGCGGACGAGGTCCTCAAACTGGCCAGAGCGGTTGGCAGCAGAGATGACGTCCATGTACGCTGCTGGGTCGTCGGCCTTAATGTACGAGTCAATGGCCTCCTTGACGAGCAGGGCGTCGAGCTGAGCCTTGGCAAGGACCGACCAGACGTCGGGCTGGTTGCAGCGCTCGGCAAACTCGTAGGCGCGGTCGAGCGAACGAATGTGCTGGATGAGCACCTGGATGGCGGACGTGTTGACCTCAAACTTCTTAAAGATGGCAAACGCCTCCTCAAACAGCTCAGAGCCAATGGCAATGTTGGCAATGTCGGGCGCGTCGTAGTTGTCGAGACGGTTGATGTAGTCCATGACGCGGGACGAGTCAGCCTTGATGGCGGTGAGAATGAGCAGGTTTTGGAGGTTGCGGTTGTCCGAGAACATTGAGTTGTCGAGGACAATCTTCTCGAGCAGCTCGATGAGCTCGTTGGGGAGCGAGGCGTTCATGAAGGCACGGACGGTGATGGCGACATCCTCGGGGTCGTGGGTCTCGGGCAGCGCAGTCTGGACGACCTGGTCGATGAGCTGGCGACGGAACTGGTTTTCGACAATCAGCACCTTGGCCCACAGGTCGAGGTCGCGCCTCTTGACGAGGTAGCGCGCCTCCGACTTGAAGAGCGAGTTTTGGTGGCAGACCTCGATGAGCTCGTCGTCGCAACGGCCGCGCTCGTAGGCAACAAAGGCGAGGTGCGGGTCGCGCTTCTCGCAGTACTTGCCGACCACGCGCGAGTCGTAGAACTGGTTTTCGCGCAGGAACTTTTCGGGGTTGGTGTTCGAGTCAATGTAAATCTTGGCAAGCGCGTTGTGGGTGGCGGGCTCGTTGTTGCCCTCCTTGATGCGGGTCTCGAGCCAGGGGAGCAGGAGCTTGAGGCGGTTGCGCTGCTCGACCTGCTCGACGAGGTCGTCGACCGAGAACTGGCCGCGGACGGACAGAATCAGGCCCTTGATGACATCCTCGGCGCAGTCGACATCGAGAAGACCGCCGACGACGACGGGGAGACGCGCGGGGTTGACCTTTTGCACGTAAATCTCAATGTACTTTTGGAGCTGGTTGCGGTAGAGGTAGAGGACGAGGTCGTGGACAAAGTCAAAGCGGTCGCACACGATAATGAGCGGCAGCTGGTCGGTGAGCTTGGCCTCCTTGAGGAAGTTCTTGACGCGCTCGGGATCGTAGCAGTTGGACTCGCGGCAAATGCGCTCCACCTCCTTGACCTGGCCAGTCTTGCAGGCAGCCTGGATGTACTTGAAGTGCACGTCGGGCTCTTGCGAAAAGTTGACAATCGAGCCGAGGAAGTAGAACAGACCTTCGAACGACTTGAACGACTCAAACATGTCGATGAGCGCGGTCGTGGTGAGCTGCTCGTGGTACTTGGTGGCAATCTGGACGACGACCTGGAGGTTTTGGCGAATGTTGGCCTGGAGCATGGCCTTGAGGCACTCGACAGAGTCGGCGACGGAAAGCGTGCCAAAGTAGTTGACGAGCCACTCGGGGTTGAGCAGGTGGGTGTGGACGATGGCACGCTTAATGTCGAAAATGTCAGTGTAGTGCTCGAGCGCACGCTGGTACAGGCCAGCCTTCTCGCACAGCTGGGCAACGTGGGGGCGGTCGTAGTGCGTGAACATTTGGTTGCCGAGGATGGCGTCGGCGACCTGGGGCGCGGCCATCAGGTTCATCTCGAGCAGGCGGGTCTGGAGCGGGCCTTCCTCGGGGCGGTTGTTCTTGAGCGCGTCGAGCAGGAAGGACGTGCACTGCTGGACGAGGTTGAACTCCATAAAGACGTCGACAATCGAGCCAACGTCGCAGAGCGGCTGGTCGTCGGCGACAAGCATGGCGGCAAACTGCGAGCCCTGCTCCGGGTTCATGCGCATCAGGCCGCGCAGCAGGTAGCCATAGTCTGCAGTGTAGTTGACCTTCTTGGCGTACAGGACAATCTTTTGGAACTGGCCAGTCTCGGCAAAGCACTGAATGACCTTGGCGGGCACCGAGGCGCGCAGGTAGACGCTGAGCGCAAGGGTGGCGTCAAACTGCTTGACGAGGTCGCCGAGCTCCTCAGAGCAGTCGAGCTTGTCCTCCTTGAGCCACTTTTCGAGCAGCTGCTTGCGGCCCTGCTGGAGCACGGGGCGGCAAAGCTCCATCGACTCGTACTTGTTCAGCTGGCCCTGCTCGAGCAGGATGGAAAAGTACTGCAGGAGCGGCGAGGTGGCGCCGGCCTGGGTGGGGACCTGCTGGAAGCGCTGGATGGTCTGTGGGGTGCGGAGAATGCCGCGCGGCGCGGAAGCGGCAATCTTGGCAGCCTCGGCCACCTGGCCTGCGGCAAACAGGTTGTTAAACTGCTTGACAAACATTTCGTCGGCGCCGGGCAGGTTGTTGCGAACGGCAAGGCGCATTCCGAGCTCGAGGTTTTGCAGCGTGTTGGACACGTAGGGAACAATGTTGTTCTCGTCGACCGAGACCGACAGGACTTGGCCCTTGCGGTTGACACCAATGATGCCAGAGGTGGCCTCGTGCGGGGCGGTCACGAAAATGGTCTCGCCAGAGATGCGGTTCATGTAAATGCACGCGCCAGTCTCCAGGTCGTACAGGTGCACGTAGCCGTACTTTGTGATCAAAAAGATGACATTGTAGCGGTCGGACACTTGCATGGCAACGGGGAAGTCGTTCTGTGCCTCCGGGGGGAAGAAGACCTCGACGTTGCGCTTGGAGAAGGGCTGGTTGCCGGCGGCGGGGGTGCCAACCTCGATAATGTGCAGCTTGCCGCCCTGGGCGTTGCGCACGCCAAAGACAAACAGCGTCGACTCGGACGCGTTGCCCTCCATCTTGAACTGGGCAAACGAGGCAGCGTGGCCCTCGATCGGCTGGCTGACCTTGCGCTCGTGCGAGTAGAGCTGCATGGCGCCGACAACGCGGCCTTGCTGTGCAGAAATACCAACAAGCAGGTTCCACTTGCCAGAGTCGTCAACGCGGTAGTTGATAATCTGGCAGCCAGCGAGCGATGCGTGGCGGTCAAAGACCTTCGCAGGGACGGCGTCGCCCTCCATCGACCAGTGGAAGACGGCGCTCTCCGTCACGAGCGCCACAGTGTTGACCGAAATCCACTTCCAGAACGTCACGTCCTCCGTCAGGTTGAACGATTTGACCTTGAGCTTCATTTCAATGTTGAAGATTTGGAGCGTGTTTCCGGCTGAAGAGGGAGGAAGAAGGAGATGATGAAGAAGGGAGAGTGAGAAATGGGGCTGAATGGCAAAAACAAAACAAAACAAAAAAAAAAAAAAAAAAAAAAAAAGCAGGTCTCGTTCCTGGAGGCTTTACCTTTGAGAGCAATCACCTTTGAGACGGGGTTCATGATGGCCGAGTCGGCAGTGATCGGACGGCGGATGGGGTTTTTGGGATCCGCCATGTCGATAATGACCACCTGCGATTGCTCGCCAACCTTCTCGCGGACGCAAATGAACTTGTCCGACTCCATGGTCAGAGTGGAGAAGCCAATGTTGGCCGGGTTGATGCCCACATTTTGGAGCTGTTTTTGGACATGCAGCACAGCGAAGGCACAGCAAAACGCAAAAGTCAAGTGGTCAGAGTGAGAACCAAACAATAAGAAACAATTTGGGGAAACGCAACTGCTCGTCAGCGGGATGAGAGTTTGGCGTTTTGGATTTGGCAAACGGGTGTTGTTGCGACGACTGCCATCCGTCACCGTCAGAGGGAGCAGAGGACGACAAAGAGATGAATGACAGAAAGAAAGAAGAAGAAGAAGAAGAAAAAAAAGGATCGCTCTTTTCGTTTGGTCAAATTTTGACGATTTGGCAAACCTTGATGATGATGAGTCCTTCGTCCCATCGTTCAAGCAAGGCAACCAGCAGTGCAAGCGATGGTCAAACGCAGCACAGATGGATGGACGGACGGACGGACGGAACACGAAGGGCTCAAAGAAAGGGGGAAAATGGAGGCTGAACGAAGCCAGCATCATCAAAAAAAAAAAAAAAATTCTCGCCTTTCACAATTGTAAAAAAAGAAAAAGAAAGCGATTTCGAAGGGGCGAATTCGACACCTGCGCGCCTTCCCGTCGAAGAGAAGCAATACGAGAGCACTTCTACTCTGAACGTCGCAGCGCAACGCACTCAACATTGCGACTCGAAAACGAATCGCGCTCTTCAAACAAAAAAAAAAAAAAAAGCGATCTTTGTCAAAATTCAGGGTTTTTTTTTTTTTTTTTTTTTGGTTGATGGTCCTGCGTTCGTGGTTGACTGTGTTGAAAGAGGGGCAACGCACTTGTCGTCCGTCGCGTACACGGCAATGGTAGAGTCAACGCAGCCCTCCCCACACGCGTCGATGCAATCCATCCGAACGCGATCAAGTTTGAAAAAGAAAAAGAAAAGAAAAAAAGCAGAGATCGCCGACTCAAAAAAACGGCTTTTTTTTTTGTTTTTTTTTTATTTTGAAACAACGATCTCATTGCAGGACACGCGAGCGGCTGATGTCGATGAGCGGCTGATAGAAGGGGGAGAGACAGAGAGACGGAGACAGAGATAGAGGGGGGATGAAAGGGAAGAACAGAGTTGGGGAGCTGTACCTGGATGTGCTCCTGGAACTTGATGGGCAAGTTGGCCATTTTGATTTGGATTTTGCAATGGAAGAAAATAACAAAACGAAAATGGACGAAGCAGAAAAAAAAAAAAATGAACTGAAAAATGAACTTGAAATTGAGCTGCATTGAACTGCATTGAAACACAGGATTAGCGAAAGATTAGCGGAAGATGGTGATGAAACAAGGTGGAGAAAACTGAGAGCGACGAGTAATGCAAGAGTGGTGACGACGAGGTGCAAACAAAACAGAGCCAATAGCGACGAGAAAACCCAGCAATTGAATCAGAAACAGCTCAGAAAAGAAGAGCTCGAACGCAATGCAGAACAAGACAATTAGTGCAAAAACATCAGTAATTGCAACAACCAGTGATATGAACGGATAGCAATCACTTGGTTTTACACTCTGACCTGCGTTGAACTCGGCCAGCTCCCTTTGCTGTTCGGTTTCAAATTCAACGCCCGCCATCTCGTCATGAGCTGTTCCAGCATGTCCCGCTTTAGACCATCTGTTGCGATGAGTTCAGTCTCAGTCGGTTGTTGTTCATCATCCTGACATGCTCGGTCTGCACCAATGCGACCTTCGTCTTGCTGCATAATCCCGCTGCTGCTGCTGCTGCAGCTCGTCTGCCTGACCGCGTTCAATCTCGAGCTCAACCACCCACCATTGCAGTGCCTTGCCAGTGCTGCTTCAGTATCCGACGACGACAGCACCCAGCAGCTGCAACTCGAGCAAACGATCGCAGAATGGCAAGACAAAGTCACACGTCTCCGCGTCGACCTCGCGCGCGCCGAGATTGAGCAAGAGCACTTGCGATTCAAGGAAGCATACCTAGCCATGACCAATGCCCAAGCCCCCAAGCCAGCGGCATCCGAGCAGCAGTTCCCACCGCTCGTCCTGCTCCCGCCAGAGCTGCCCGGAGCACACCCGGCGCCCGCCGTCGACCTGCTCGTTCTGATCGCAACAGGCGGTGGTCCTGAGGCGGCTGCCGTGCGCGCTCAAGTTCGTCGCGCGGCGTGGTACCGCGCGGCGAGCACCGCATCCTCGCAGCTCAAGGTCCGATTCGTCGTCCTCCCGAGCGAGCTGGACAGTTATCTATCCGTCGAACCAGACGTGATGGTTTTGTCCACTGATGAACATGACAGGTATGGTACCAAGGAGCAGAGTCTGACGCAAGGCGAACACGAGCTGGTTGAGATTGACCCGGGATCACAGTCCTCTCCGCAGCCGCGGCGCATTCTCCGTCACCGAGCGTCGCACTTGCTCTTGCGAGCATACAAGTGGGCGACCGTGCGGTACCACCCCGCCTACATTTTAAAAGTGGAAGATTACGCGGCAGCACGACTCGTTCTGGACGATTTGCTCGTCCGGATTGCTGGCTGGACCCTGCCTGCGCAACGCGTCGTCATGTCGACACAATTCCACCAAGGTGCGACGATTGTCATGGACGTTGACGGTCTCGGCCGGGACCGAGCCGTACTTTGAGGATGCACGCATCAAAACCTATCCCATTCATCC